AAGTTTTCATCTGGAATTGATTAATTCTAATACTTTTGAATACTCTCAATCAATTTCATTGTCTGTGTGGATAATTTCAGACAACAGATTAATCTTCTACAGTTTCTCTGTGGCTTTTTTGGGAAATCTTTCAGGGTTTGATGTTTCAGTAGCTCAGCACAAGAATGTCCCTTAAACCATTTCCTTTTTTGTCAATATTTGAATTTGTATATATAAAATACCTTTGGTATTATGGAGAAACTGTAGCAGAGTGCAGGGAAAGATGGAAACAAAATAGGCACTTGGATTGTAGACACTGCTTGTTCCAGAGCTGAGTGACTTGATTTTTGTCTTGCTCTGGCAAGCTTTAAGCAATAATGTCTTGCAGTATTCAAGTTGTTGAACTTTTTCCTATGCAAGGGCAAGTCCTGCTCCTTTCACGCTCCTCTGTTCTGCCCTGAGCTCAGGGTCTGCCTTGGATATTTAAGCACCACATATGCTTTTCTTGGCTTACAGAAGTGTACAGCCATATACAGCAGTGAAACCCATTCTGGCTGGAGTCTTCCTCTGTAAGAGCTGTAGTCTCGAGGATTCATCTGACAGGGAAAGGCCCTTCAATTGAATTGGCAGCTGCATTTTTCAGGCTTCCTGGTGTTATAAAACCAGGGTATCTAGGACCTAATTTTCAGTCAACCAATAATCATTTCATAGGCGTATAAGTAATGGCTTCTTATAAGCCCTCATGATGTATTTTTTGGGACCTTGTAAACAGCTGATTTGTCTCTTTTGCAAGTTTCAAGAAGGTGCACCATCTTCCCTATGTGCAAGGAGGTAGATGACCTTCCACTATCTGAAAACCTTGTTCGTGACACTTGGGTTTAGAACAATCTCCTCAGTATTCTGCATGGCAGCCGCTTGTTGATGAGATGTACCTATAAATGTGTGTTCTCTGTACTTAATGTAATAGCTGAATGTTGTTTTTTCTGTTAATATCTCTTGAAATACATAAAGCTTGCTGCTGTGCCTCTTGCTGCAATGGTGATTGCCTGGAGGCAGCTTGTCACGCTACCTCTGTACATGAGAGCTTTAGCAGAACCTCAGATGCTGATGTCAGTCTTGCTATTAAGTGTCATATGCCTGGCAGGACCTTAGCATGCAAACACCATTCCAACTAAAGACAGTATTTGAGCTTTTCAGTCAAGCAGATCAGCTTGGGTTTTCTGGGGTTTTTCTTTTCCTTCTCTTTTACTTGGTGTCTGACCTTCTGTTCGTGTTGATGGACACAAAGCTTGTTTGGTGAGAGAAGAGTTCAAGTCTGTAACATTCACTTTAATTACCCAGCCCTTTTGCTGTGGTTCAGGTGTCTGTGCCTATCTTCTTCAGTGATTGTTCCTTCAAACTGATATGTGTTAAAAGCACTGACATCAAGTGATAGTCATTCTTCAGCTCTTGGAGAGTAATTCAGGTATGTGAACTGTGGCATGAGTAGGTTTGTGTGAATGCTGTCTAGGAAAGGACAGTTTGATGTAGTGTGACCCCTGTAAATGGGACCCCATGTATCTCAAGAAGGTCTTGTTTCTTAATCATTATTATCTTAATTATCTAAAATTTTCTTAATCATGGTTATAAAGTGAAGTTTATCTCAGAGTTGCTATTTTAAAGGAAGGGGTGTAAGTGCTTTAGATGGCTGACTGGAAAAGTGCAGACTGTGTTCAGCTGCATATTGCCAGCACACACACGTGTCTCAAGGAAGTAACTGCTCTGCCCGTCTTACTGACAGCCTTTGCCTCTTCAACCATTAGTAAAGTAAAACCTAATTTAATAAAATGTTTTTGGGAGACAGGGGGAAAGGCAACAATGGGAGTGATTGTGCAAAAGTTACCTATGAATAGAGTACTGGAGAACGGCTATAGAGTTTCTCACTGCACTGTTTGCTACTTTTCATTTGACTGTTACAAAAATTGCTAGGTAATCCTTGGTACTTGAGTAATATGGTAATGAGTTAAAGTATGTGAATGACACTAATGTTTTGCACGTTATACAGTGATTGCTTTCAAAAAAATCTCTGCACTTCCCTAGAAACAGTGTGGCCAGAGCCAGCTGTAGTCGGGTGTATCCAAATTCACTTGTTTAGCAGGGTTTGGTATTGTTCCTCCTGTCTTGCACGGTGGTGTAACTTGAAACATGACTTATGTGAATTAACTTGCAGGTGTGGAGGAGATGTCTCTTCTAATGTTTGCACACCTGTTCAGCATTTGAACTTGTGTAGTTAAGCGAGATTTGTGTAGCTAACAGCTGTTGCTTTAGGAGAAACCAGTTTGTTGTCTGTTTTCCCCCTTGTGCTTCCCTCCTCTACCTGCCTCACCCTGTTCTGTGAGCTGCAGGCCTCCTATTCTCTGAGTTAACGTGGCTCTAATTGAGGCTGGTCAGAGAGCTAACCTGCCAGTTTTTTATTTTTAGTGACTAAAACTGCGCTATGAGTGAGCTGACTGAAGTTTCTACCTGTTCATATGTAGATTTTAACTTTCCTGAGCTTTGGTGGTCCTGAAGTTGTAACACATCTATCTGTTGTGAAGGAGTGCAACAGTTTTTTTATGTTATTTAGAAATAAGCATTGTTTTTATCATTTAAGGAACTGTTCTTCAGAGATAAGTCAGTTGCATGCTCCTGCCCAGCTTAGACTGCTAGCTGTGTTTCTGTAAGAAGTTTCCTTTTGAATAATAAAATGTATCTGCTCTTTACTCATACTTGTGGCTGCTGTTCTGACCTGTATGGTAACAGCTGATTGTGCCTGCCTCTAATTAGAGCTGTACCAATTTTCTATGGGCATCTGTCAAGTTACTTAAGCAATAGAATACATGGCGTGACTTAGTATGTACAAACCTCTTTCAAAAGAGCCTTATTGTGTTGGCATTTACATAATTATTAGAGTAAGAATCATGTTTGAGCCAGCTAGCTGTGAAGTTGGTAGGCGGTAGAATGTTGTTAATAAATGTTTCAGCTTGGTTGCAGTCAAATTCTTGTGTTCTTATAATCATAGCAATGTGGTACCTAGAGGAATACTATTCTCATATAAAATCTGACATTGTTTGATGTCTAATTAGTCCTGCTTGGAGATGTTGCTTATGGATCTGACTGTGAACTTGATTAACCCATATTTTTAAGTCACAAGGTTATTCTGAGATGTGTGTTTAATTATGTTCTGTATTAAAGGAAGGTTATTACACATGAGACCAAGCAAATGTGGCTTAAAAAAAAAAAAGAAATATTTAGGGCTGAAAGTATTTGAAGGAAGTAATTTTCTTTATATAAAGACTGGACTCGCTTTAAATCTGTAAGTATTATTTCACTCATTTGGCTTAGTAGATATGAGCCATGATTAAGTACAACTATTTGAAATTTTTGTAAAATATTATGTTGAGTATTTAAATACTTGATTCTGGTGAGCAGCAGTAGGAACAGAAAGGGATTTTGTAGTTGCTTGAAGAGGAAATAAGGCAAGTTCCTAAGATGCATCTTAATTGGTTTTTAATTGGTTTTTAATTTTAACTTACCCCACTAATTTTTCTTTAGTGCTTAAAATAGAGCCTTTTAAAACAGGCTGTGCCTTGATACATCTAGATACTGTTTGATTTTGAAAGATGCAGCAGTGTCTGGTTAGATGGCTTGGAGTTGAGGATGGGGCAGATAAGAAGGAAAAGAAGGGGATTAAAGCAATAAGTTGGAAAATGCAGTTCTCTAACCATTGTCTGTGCAGAGGTCAGAGAACCCCACTGAACTCAGCTGCTTGTGGATCAGGGTAGTAAGAGTTTTATGCATAGCAGCAGTCTGTTGTGAAAGGCAGATCATATAGGTAAAGCGTTTGATTATCCTAGTCCTTTTTGATTTCTGAATAGCAATACTGTGCATTTCAGTTGATCTGGAAGGCTTTTTGGTGGGGGAGAGAGGACTAGACTTAATGGAGAGGTGGTCTTGGCACTGCTAGGAAATGTCAGTAAAACAGGAAATGGGAGACAATTTTTCTTTTTTTCTTGAGAGCCAAGTATTTTAGTCTTCTCAGTTCCTTGGAAATACAAGACTTCTTTTAAAAAAAAAAAACAAACAAAAAACAACCAAACCAGAACAAAGCACCAAAAAAACCTGCAAAATGAAACCAAAACCACAGCACCCAAAAAAAAAAATACACCTCAAAATTCCTATCATTTCTTGTTGGGCCTTTGCAAGGCATACTTAGCTACCGGTGCTCAGTTGTTAAAACCCCAACTCATGATGATGGCCAGTAATTTAGGAGGTGAAGGTTCTATGCTAATGGTTAAATTATCATGTCAACTTTGACATTTTTTTCCTGAAGGGAAAAAATGCCCATTATGGATTTGATGTGAAGATGACAAATTTCAAAGGTGATTAAGGCTAGTTAGTGCTGTATGTTTTTGTTTTAAGGCAGTAGAAAGTTATAATTCAGTGATATATCTGTTAGTTACAGTGTATACATATATGTTAGTTATATACATATAAAAAAATAGGAAAAAAGCCAAAAGACATTAATCTGAAAACGTGTATGTTGTTCTGGAGGATTATTCATATCTGAGCATAAGTCATTCTGAAGTAGGAAATGATGCATTTTAAAAATGCATTGCAATGCATTTAATTTCTCTCATTCAACTCTGCCTCCCCCAACATTTAAATTCCGTGTTTTGATGAAAGGTAAGCGCTTGGAACTGAAATGAAAGCTTGACTGTTCACAGTGCTGAAGTTTGAATGGATGGCATATTGTCTGATAGTTCATCCAACAACAAGGGTACCAGCAGTAGAAGTGGGCCTGATGGCCTTCTGGGTCTGTGTGATGGCTCTTTTGTTTGGTACAGATCTTTATCATAACCAAAGCAACTACTTCCTTCGTATTCTAAATATGTCTCTCTCATCTTTGAACTGCTGTCTAACACTGGCTTTTAGACTTTTTGGTCATGATCCCCACCAGATATTCTGATGAAGTACTAAGATGAAAATCTTCTACCCTGCAGCACAGCCAAGTACAGCGTGGTGACATTTCTACCTCGATTCCTGTATGAGCAGATAAGAAAAGCTGCAAATGCATTCTTCCTCTTCATTGCCTTACTGCAGGTATTGTTTTATTGCTTTGCCTTGTTAATAAAATGCAATGGTAGTGCAGTAAAAGTTATTTCTGTTCTTATGCTTAACTGTAAGGCAATTCTTAAACTTAATACTCATATTAATGGGATATGTAGTTGCTAACTGGAACTGGAAGACAGCATAGAAACTTCTTTCCATGTAGTTTGTAAAGTCGAACCTCTTTTATTAATAAGTAAAAATAAGTTGTGTCATAAAGCATGGAGCTATTGACCATTATGAGAAAAGAATATGTGACTTGTGAAACTTTTGCTTAGTTCAGATTATCATTGCTTCCATGTGAATGATGTAATTTGTATAACTTTCTTGTAAAGAGAAGAGAAATAGAATAAAAGGCATGTACAACAACAGTATCTTCTAACTTTGTTATTGTTTCTTCAAACCTACTTAGACTGTAGGCTAGTTTGCCCACTGAAATGGAATATCTGTGAGGCACAAATCACACAGTAAATCAGAGAACTTTGTGTTCTCTCTTCTGAGAGCTTTGCATAAAATTCTAAATGTGCCAGAAATTAATTTTAAATACTAATATAAAAGGGGTCTCTTTTCCCTCTGCTCACAGCAAATTCCAGATGTCTCTCCAACAGGAAGATATACCACCTTGGTGCCATTGCTATTTATTTTAACAGTTGCTGGCATCAAAGAAATCATAGAAGATTATGTGAGTATGACTGATGAGGATGGGAATGAATATGATGGGGAAGGCTGTGCTAAAGACCAAAAGCTATAAAATGCCATAAAGTCATGCATCTCTGAAGTCTCTTGAGTCATTGCTTAACAGTAGCAAAATGTTGTTTTGACTTTCAAAGTACTTGAATTTCTGTAATAAATACTGAAAATACACTGAAATAAAGAAATATTTTCATTATAGTAGAAATCAGGACATTTGTTTCTCCTTCTTCAAGCTTGCTTATTAATGCTATGATTAGAAAGAGTGTAGAGTTCTGACAAATATGTGGTCTTTTCAGATGGTCTTGAAAAGGAGGGTTGCGGGGAGGCAAGCAATTTAAGGATAGAGAAGACTGTTTTGGGCAAAATCTGTTCTAACTTGCTTGTGTACTTTACATCAGAATGAGGTCTTTCTGCTTTGCAAAATACTGATGAGTGAAATCATTTGGATATCAGTCTAAACAACAGCACGTGAAATTTATATACATGGATATCTATTTAAATATTGTGGTCCTTATTGTTACTTTTGTTGTTCTTCAATAAAACCCAGCTTTGGAGACTTTTTTACCACTGATAAAGTTTTGAGCCAGACTTCCAACACGAGTATTTACACTTTGAAGGTTGTAAATTATACTCTTTATGTTCTTTTACAAACCATTTCGATTTAGATTATCTGTGACTTTAAAAAACAAAGCAAAAAATCCCATAAAGGCAAAAAGGACCCAATGTATCATCTTGCATTTTGTCATATTTTTAGCTCTGATCATTCTTGAATTTGTGATGAAGTGTAATGAGGTATAATGAAATGTTTTGTTTCCTTACAGAAAAGGCATAAGGCTGACAGTGCAGTGAATAAAAAGAAAACAGTAGGTAAGACTAAACAGTCTTTAAGTATTTAAAATGCAAATAGTGAATGCTTACTTTTACTTTTGAACAATTCTATTGCTTTAATGGTCATGATGGTGAGGAATGCCATCATGACCATTAAAGCAGGTACTTACCAGTAATTTAGGATTTTACTTTGATAAAGGTTTCAGACTGATTGTTGATGGTCTGACACTTAAGGGGAGGCATTGGGAGGATTACCTGAATTTATAAGTTCATGTAATTTCAAGGTTGTGCAAAGTTGCGTAGTTCTCAGCACCTCCAAGAAAACCAAACGATTTTTTCCTTACCAAACTCCATCCTGATTATTCTAACACCAAACCCAACACCAAAACATCCAGAACTAAAAAAGCCAACAACCCCCTGAAATGTTGAAAGCTGCTGTCAGAAGAATTTTAAGTCATTTTTGTAAATGCTGCTGCCCTTTAAATATAGTAAGTCTGGGGACTTTTTAGCTTTGCTTTCCTGAAGTGTCACTGAAAGAGAATTTAATGCTGATATCCACTGAATGCCTAGATGTATCATTAAGGTATGGATAGTACTTGTCACTGTATGCCTGAAGACATCACTGTAATTTTCTTCACCTCCCTTAACTGAAAACCTGTGCAGAAAATAGGAAGAGCTTGTCACTGGCCGTCCTGTGATTGTCCTGTGCCATAGTCAAGGCAGCTCCATGTTCATGTGTTGGACAGCTCCACTTCTGCTCCTCTGTGCAAATGTGCAGCTGAAATAGGAACACAGGGACTTGAGCTCCAAGAAGAGCCCTTCCGCCCAAGCAGAAATACCTCAAGTGTCAAAAAGCTAGAGGAACACTTAAAGGAACATGGGAAAGTGAGCAACCTGCTGGCTCCATGCATCATATAGTCCTGCAAACATTATGTCTGTTTTTTTTCACTGAGTTTGGTGCTTGAAAATTTGGGTTGATCACTAAGGTTGTTTATTAATACACATCTAAAGGCATTGCTTTATCAGTTCTCCTAGGTAATGTCTCTCTACAAGAGTCTGGGAAGATATTTGGAGTGCAAGAACACTGTATTAGTCATGAGCAATTGGCATTTAAGTGGCTGTAGCATAACAGCCCTTGTTATGGGTAATATGAAAGATGGCCCTTCCAGAGGTTGCAGAGGCAGTTATAATTCATTTGTTGGTAGAGAATGTGTGCCAACAAACACTTCAAGGGACGTTTGTCACAGTAATTGTGGAGAGACAACCTTAAAGAAAACTAGGTGTTCTAATGGAGCTAAGTGGATCTTAGCACTTGAAAAATTATGAGTTCAGATTTTATTTTTTACCTTTGAATACTCTAAATAAATTTTTAGTCTGATACTTAATACTGTATCCTCCTCCTTCTTAAGAGGAAGGCTAAAGAGGCTTATTCTTGAGACATGTATTACCAGAGTGAAAATATAACTTCAGTTTAGAGTGGGATTAAGAAGAAATAAATTTAGGTTCTCTGTGTGCCTTTAGGTTGCTCTTATAGCTGAGTGGTGTCTAATCAATGCATTCAGTGTGGAGAGCATTTATGCTCACTGCGAAGCAGATGCTTGCTGTCTGCTTGGCTGTGTCCTGAACTCCACTGCCTGCAATGTCTGGTTGCTTACTGCAGCAGCAGCCATGTAATTTGCATTTATCTTGTTTAGTTTTTTAGAGCAGTTGTGTATCTTCAAAGTTATTTTGCTGTATTAAATTTACCATGGAAAACATCAGTTTACTTTGCAGAGTGGCTTTGATATGTAGGAATTAAATTGCCTTTGGAGCAAACTAAAAGTGAAGTTCTGCCCTGGGTGAGCACTGAACATTTGCATTAGGAGGTGGAGTGTATTTAGGCTTTGAGCCAGTGTTTTATGTCTTGGATGGCTTCACGTGATGTCTGTGATGATAACATTAAATCTAGGGACCTGACTCCATATAATTCCAAGTGAAGCCCCTGAGCAGTGTATTGCATTGATATAGAGAGCTCAGTAATAATTGTTCTGATGCCTTGATACTCCCATTGTCAAAGAATAAGTAATGAGCATTTAATATTGCATGGGATGAGCTTGAGTATTAGACAAGCACAGGGCTAGCAAACTCTGGAACAAGACTGGTGGGATATGCTCCCTTTAGGAACCTCACTTCAAATGGCCCTGCATGGCTGGATGTGAGTGACAGCATTAAGTCTTAGGTCTAGAACTGGGTTTTGATCTTGGAAGGCCTTAAATAGAAGGTATATATTGAAACTCTCTTAAGTTGAAACAGTCTTTTTAGGTATTTGTCCTTTGTTCCTTTAACCAAGTATCTTTGGACAATGACTAATTCATCAGTTTTGCCCTACTAAAGATATTCTACAGAAGACATGTCCTTTTCTGTCCTTTGGAGTACTCCTCTAAAACTGGGTTAAGCAGAGTAGGAGGTGTGAAATTGCAACCCCAAAATTTCTGAACTGTTTTATGTCTAATGGCAGCTTTCTCTTTAGGCTGTGGGATTATGAGTTTAAGAGGAAATAGTTCAGTAATAGAACAGTAAGAAAATAGCTTCAGTAATTTGCTTGGGTATTTAATTTTAATTTCTAAATTGATTTCAGTAAGCATTGCAAGTTAAATTGTTTTCTGAGGTAAACTGCCTACCAGACAAAGTTTGTAGCACTTGATGTTGCAAAATACTTTTGTGTGTGAGCATATAACAATGTCAACAAAATGTTTATTGAAAGGTCTCCAAAACTTTCTGGTGGAATAGGGGGGTGTCTAGACCATGGCACAGGAGATGCTGGATGTTGCAACTCCTCTCTGAAGGTTGGATTTTGAGTCAAGGCTGCAGGTATTTGGCTTTCCCCTGGAGATTCTGGATTCAAGCCTTCTGAGTTCTGAACTAAGCAGAGCTCAATTCAAGAACAGTGTATATGAGGGATGGAAGGGATGCACCAAAACTGTTCTTCCCCTAAACTGCTGTAATTTGGTTGAAAGCTCAGCTGTTTTTTGACACGTCACTGGCAGTACTTCTGTTGCTGCCCATCCATTTTTTGTTAAATAGTTTAGTTCACTGTAGTCATTTGCTGCAATATTAAATATCAGGATTCAGTGCTTCAATGTGTGTGGCCTGAGAACAGGAGTCAAGAGACAGGTTTCTTCTGTTTCATCTATTCTGACAAGTCTTGCATTCCTGTTTGTGGAGTGGCATGTCCTGGGTAGGATGGTCAAGGCTGTATTGAGCAGATTTTTTTTCTGAGAGTGTGGTATTATTTTCAGATTAGCCATGTGTATGAAATACAGCTGAGAAGATTGTTTGGATTCAAAAGTAGGGAACTGACCTCTTCAACTCTGATCTGTTGCACACTGCACTTTTAAACACCTTTGAAAACTAGCTGCAGCTGCTTTCAATTAATGTGAACTTGCTGTGCTTGGACCTGGACTGGACTGGGTTATTCAGCAGTAATTGGGCATGTTTGACCTTACTGTTTTGGCTGGAGTAGTATTAAGTAGGTGTACAATCACCTAGAGGAAGGGCTTGGGTGGAAAGGCAGGCTGCAGGGTAAATGACTAATGACTGTGTTAAGATGGCAGTGTAGAAATGGAGCCCTTTAGAAATTGAGGTTGGTTTTGGTACCTTTTCTTTTTATTCTTCCAATGTGAACTTCAAGAGTAAGGATTCTCCTTCTGCCAAAGTTGATTGTTGCTTTTCAGTAGGGCTTTGAGCCTGTTTGGCAATTAAGACTCAGATTTATATGGGCTATAGGTAATGATAGTGAAGTTGCATGTGCCAGAGTCAAAATATTATGAATGAAATGCAAGGCAAAAGATGAGACGTGAAAATTCTGTGGTAAATCATACACAGAGTGAAGGTGCTTCCTGATACTGATTGGCAGTGGGCAGTTAATGCCTTTTGTTTTAAGGAAGGTCATTTCCCAAACAAGAAACAATGCTGCCCATCTACATGTTAGTATGAAGTGATGCCATGAAGAAATCAGGCCACCAACTGTTGTCTGGCAGGTGATAAAAATTATATAAATATGAAGGGCACATTCTTCCTCTTTCTTGTATTCACATGCCCACAGCTGTGAACAGAAGTTCCAGCTTCTGAAAAATGCATTTCTGATTTTTTTGTTGGTTCCTATTGTTTGCTACTGCTGATACAGTTGTTCTGAAATTTGTCTGAATTATGACTATTTATTCTGTAATCTAACTTTAAGCTTTCTTTCCAGTTCTAAGAAATGGGATGTGGCAGAACATTATGTGGAAAGAGGTAAATAAAACCTGAGGATGGGAGGGAGGGAAAGCAAGTATTCAAGAATTACTCTTGCCAGAATTAATTAGGAGGCTTGGAATTAATGTATCCTACATGGGAGTTCTTTGTCACTTGGGTGGGGGGGGGTAGGAGGGATCCTTTCTGTTCCAGTAGTCAAAATTGTCCTGAGTGAGGCATCTGAGTACCCATTTTTAAATCCTGGTACTGTGTTACAGTCAATTCTAATGGATTGTTGTGTTTTTCCTTGTGCAGTTAATAGGTAAACTGTAAACAGTATTTTGGTTTTTAGTCTGGTTAGAAGAGTAATTTTCACTGCAATGCTGTACCTCCCCTGCAAGTCTAGCAGAGACTTAATTTTGCTGCCTGTGCTAAAAAGTCCCTGGGCTTTGAGACTAATTAGTAAGCTGCTTGCTCAAGTAAGAAACACAAGTTTTGCTGCTACCTGAGGCACTTGGGACCCATGTTTTGTGAGGCCCTTGGTCAGAGTCTGGTGGGCTTTATTTCTAATACCTGGAAGTTGCTGAAATGCCTTTGGATGTATCGATCTAGTTGTGGCTCTTAGTGCCTTTTAAAGGATAAAATTAGCCCTCTTATCTAGTAATTGAGGAAAAAGTACACCCTTTTAAAACCTCTGAGGAATGAGATCAGTCTCAAGATACCTAAAAGCAATACTGCTGAAGTGTTAGGCTATAGTAGAAGCTGAAGATTGCCACGGATTCAGATGGCTAATGTTGGTTCCTGTTTATGCTGTTCCAAGTCCTATTTTTGTAGAAAGGACAGTGAATTGAAAGTTTAAGGTCAAGCCTGGAATCTGGGTTTTTTATACCCTTAGGCACTTCTTGAATTGACCTGTGTCTGTAACTGCATGTTGTCCAGGCTTTTGTTGTTAAACAGTTCTGTATTACTGTATTAGCCACCTTGATCACTTTAAGGCAGGCTTCTTACTTTTTTCTTTTTCTTTTTCTTTTTTTTTTTTTTTTTTTTTTTTTTCTTTTTTTTTTTTTTTTTTTTTTTTTTTTTTTTGGTTGTACTGAAAGTGGTAGGGAATTTATCTTTAGTGGTATCTGAGTAAAACTAATGAATCTGCTTGTTCAAACATGCCATCTGTTTCCATTTTTATAAATTAATATCTTGAAAGTATTTTAAGCCCATGTCAGACTTTCAGTTCTACATTTGGCATTAAGCAGCCTCATGCTTATTGGGCAAACCTGGTTTACTGTTTGAGAGTGTTACTTGACTCTTTTGAGAATGAAAGTCCCATGCATGTGTGACTAACTCAAGGTGCTGAAAAATCTTAGGCCTGTGTAGGAGGAGACAAGTATTCCAGAATTCTGCATATCTCAGGGAAGAACAGGATTATATGATGGATCCATAGAGATGATACTATTTGCTAGTGACTAGTACAAGCAATGCATCTAAGGGGAATTAAGGGAAAATTATAGTGATGTTTGGGTAGGTAAGTAACACAGATAAGGAATGGAAGAAAACTCTTGATACTTAATGAAGGTGAAGTCTAAAGATAACTTTTTTACTAGGGAAAAAAAAAATAAGACTAAAGAAAACCCCTGAATTTGGATAATGGCAGAACTATAGAAAAAAGTAATTTTTATTAAATATAAGCCACAGAAGTTCACAATTTCTAATTGAGTGTATCTGCCATTTTTCTATCTAGAATTGTTTACTTTACATTCAGAAAAGGGAAGGCTTTGATATTTCCAAACTTGCAGTGAAAAGTACTCTGACTTTCAGAAAAACTGTCTCTAGCTGTTCTGTGCATGATGCTGTTCTTCTGACTGGGTGAAAGAAAATAACAAACTAACATTCCAGGCAAGCGAACTGTTTGTTTTTCTCTTCCATGCTACTGTACTCCTGACCACCACAGGTAGCAGTAGGCGATATTGTGAAGGTCACCAATGGGCAGCATCTTCCAGCAGACATGATCATAATATCTACCAGGTATCCTGAATGGGCGTGGAAGTGATGTGTCTGATGAACTGAGGTGCAGAGGACTCGAATCTCTGTATTTGCTATTAATAAAACCAGACATCAGATAACACTAATTCTATTCCACATCTGAAATCAAATTTCAACAAAATTCAATGACGAAACATGGCTTTACTAGGCTTTCATTCATGTATCATTGTAGATAGGCTCTTCTAAAATGAGGTGTTTCCAAGACTTCACTTTATGAATTGCAGATGCATAATACTCTGTATTAATGAGTTTTTTGGCAGACTGAAGGTCCTTAACATGAGCTTTATGCAGTCAGTGGTTCTATGGCCTTTTGAGAATCCCTCCCCTTAAATAAGGAAGCTTAAGTTTTCTTCCAGTTAATTCCACTGAATATTCAGCATATTTTTCTGTGCTCCCCCAGGAAGATTTCTCTTTCAATAGGAAATCTGAAAGGGTAGCTCTGTTGGCATCAAACAACAAAAGAGCTTTTGGACTTTGTTCACTACTTCTCTTGGATACAGCACATGTATGGCCCATCTCTAGCATGGTAGCAACAGTAATCCGTTGAGTCCTTCTTGGTTTAGTTTCAAGTGTGGGACAACTTCCTGATGCCCCCCAGGACACATATGGCCCTATTGGCTACCAGGGCACTGTGGACTCATGTTGAACTTGCCATTGACCAGGACCCTCAGGTCCCTTTCCATGGGACTGCTCTCCTTCATCCCATTCTCCAGTCTGTACACACATCTAGGGTTACCTTGTCCCAGATGGAGAATCCAGCACTTGCCTTTATTAAACTTCATATGGCCTGCCCAGCTTTCTCATTTGTTGAGGTCTCATAGTTCCTAAAAACATTTGAGTGGTGCTTGACTGCTACTCTAGGTTCTAGATTCTGTAGAGTAACTTGAGGCTTAATCAAGACCACAGTTTGCTTAGACAGATGAGGTTTAAACAAGAGACAACAGCACAGCTCCTGTTGTTAAACATGCTTTAAGCATGTTTGGCTCTAATAACCAAACCTTACAACACCTCTGTAATTCCCTCCTGTGTGTGTGCTTTTCAGCAGTGATTGCAGATTGCTCTGGTCTCAGGGTTTCAGTTCTCTTACATGATCCAGCTTTTAAGGGGAACTTGTTTTTTTCAAGCTCCTGTATTTTCTGCTCCATCCTTATTGTCTATGCTGTTTCTGGAAGATTTTATTTTTTTCTAAGCTATATGCAGAAGCTCAGTCTTTTTGAATTACTACATCATGAAGGATAGAGGCACCTTCATTCCATGGTATACAGTATTGTATTTTTCAAAACAAGACTCAAACTTTAAATAAGTGGTTGTCAACTTAATATGCAGCTAGGCTGAATTTGGACATCAATAACTTTCTGTTTCAGCATTGAAGAATATTTTACTTAAGAACTTCTCTAATGCATTATACTAAAAACCTCTTCTGACTTATTTCTTAACTGTGTGGGCCAGCTTTTTCTTCTACATTTTTCTACTAACCTGCTGTCTTTGATAACCACATAATAATTAGAGAATTTAACCCAAAGCATGGTGATTTGGCAGGAGCTTTGCTTGAAATAAATAGTAATTTGTATGTCAGTTCTGCTTTATAATTGGTATTATTCCCATGATTCCTTTAAATGTCAATACTAAGTGTCCTCAGTTCACCAGAAAGCTCTGCATGTTCTGAAGGGGGTGGGTTCTTTTGCTTGTATATGTTGATTTTCTGTGTGAGGTGATTTTTAGAGGTAAAATTGACAGTTGTTTTTATCTTGACTCGCTTCCTGTACAGCAAAAAGGTGACATCAAATTTTACATAAATAATGAATTAACATGTAGGAAAAATATTTTCATTCAAGCACAACTTTGCATGGAAACATGTCCACATGTCTCATTTCCACAGTTCATACAATTTCTATGGAAATTAGAGGAATTGTATTGCAAAAGGGCTCCTTCCTGAGCTAACCACTTCAGTTGTGGTAGACAAGGTGTTTGACACAAGTAAAATTGGAATCAAGCTGGACTCTAATCTATGTCTTTCTTGGGTTCAGATTCAAATTGCCTGTGTAGGAAGGGACAAAGAATAGACTGAACCATTTTTTCTTTTCAAAGCAAAATTAATTGTAGAGAATAATCTCGCTTCTTACTGTGTTATAAATGTACCTGTCCATTTCCTAATTATTATTTTCCTAAGGAGTCTTTATTACTGACTGTTCTGTTGATTGAGTACATTTGCTGTTAGAACAATTTGTGACTTTGGAAAAAACCTAGCCATTTATCAAGAATATGACAAGTGATATGCTGAAGAAGCACTTGCTTGAGTCCAGGTGGGAAACTGATATTTCTAGTAGCCTGAGAAGACACTGGGCAGAAAAATCATTTTCATGGTGCCATGCAGAGGTTTTGAATCTTGAGTGGCATGTCAGGAAAAGATCTGGTAAAAGTACCCTTTCTTATCACAGGTGCCACCTATGCAAGCTCCTCTGTTAGATATAGATAAGAGCTTGACTAATAGAAAGTTCAGTTCTAGGAGGAAGACTTTTGTCCCTATGGGTAAGGGCAGAAACACATCTGGAAAGATGCAGGTTACAGCCCTCAATCCTAGCAAACCTTTCTCTCATGCCCAAAAAAAAGCTGTTTAGCAGTGACTTTGGATGTACTTCCCTTATTAAGGGGACTTTGCAGACATGATTTTTTGTGTCCAGGTCACAGACAGAATTCAATAGCAGAGACAGAGCATTGCTGTCTTCATCCAACCGTATTCCCTTTTTATACAGTTCAATACTTGCTCTTTCATCCATAGCTTTTGGAAGCAATTTAATGGATTGCAATTCAAAGTAATCCACTTTAGGCATCTACGTTTATAACAACTTGTTAAATTCTTACTGATTTTTTGATTTAGACTTGTCTTTCTCTGTAGTTGTATGTAGTAAATATGTACTTTCAGCTTTCATGGTTGTATACCACCAGTATAGTTTTCTGTCTTCTGCAGTGCATTGAAGAAGTCTGTGGTGGACTATATTAGTGTAAAAGAAGTGTACCAAAAAGCACTGAGTTTTAATATTGAAAATCTTACACTCCTTACAGTGAACCACAAGCCATGTGCTATATTGAAACAGCTAATCTTGATGGGGAGACGAATCTTAAAATACGACAGGTAAAACAAACTGAATTTATTTTTTTTTTCTTTTAGGTATTTAATATTAGTTATGAATCAGCATCTAGCTTGCATGGTAACAATACAAGTGCTTTTTTTGCTGTTTTAAAAAGCATCTTTCTTCAAGTGGATGTAATTTGCCTTTTCAACAGATACAAACCTAAGCAGTAATACACCATGTGCAAGTGTAAGGAACTAACCTGGAGCAAGTATTTTAAGCCCAGAGAGACAAATCAAACAGACCTTGGATGTGTTTTCCTGAAGATCTAGTTAGTGGAATTTAAGTGCTGTACATAAAAAAAAAAATATCAGCTATGCTTGTGATGAGAGTTGCAGTGTCTCCTGTCACAAGTACTATTTTATGAGTATTGTGCAGAGGCAGAAGCTGAAAAGGTTATTTATATGTATAAGTTGATTTGTTATCACTGTGGTAAGCAAAATAATTTATTTGGATCTTTCTGGTTTTGTCATAGTGTTTAGAAATAGTTAAGAATCTTTGGCTTCTTTCATTAAAAAAAGTATTTAGATTAGGATTGTGAAACACAGATAATTTGTTTTTAAAAAGCTACGCTTGCTTCTTCTTTACTGCATTTGTAGAAATGTGATTTACTGTTCCAGATCAGGCTGTTAAGTCAGGTCTTGAGCTTTTGTAAGATTTTATTTGCTTCAGGACATGCTTAAAATACAAAAATACGACCTTGCTCTGGCTTGCAGTGCTGCAGTCAAATTCTGGCAAAAGAAAGATGAAATGGATTCCTCTTTTACTAGAAGGTTAGTGGGGTGCCGTGCATGTGCTCAGATGTGGAGTACCAGTACTTTATGTTGCAGTTGCGTGACAGGCTGAATATTGACCTTGAGCAGGATTAGCGCATGTTGGCTGCTGTGGCCCAAGAGAGACTACACTTAGAATGACCATATTTAGCAGCCATAACACATCAGTGCAGCTATACTTTGAGAAAAAAAACAGGCTTGTTTATACTGCTTTTCTCCTACTTCCCCCTGCACGTATCCAACTTCACATTTTGTGGATCTTACTTTCCTCTTAATTCAAGAGAGATCATGTAGGTAATGTAAATATCTGTGCAGAGAGTTTCAGTCTTGTTAGTAGGTTTCTCTGTGTTCATAATGAGTCTTCCTTGCAGGAAAGAGGTATTGAATCTAAAATTAAAAAAGAGAACCCCAAAACCTAACAAAAATCAACCCCAAAAAAAGAAAAACAACAACAACAACAACAACAACAACAAAAAAAAAACACCAAAGCCAAACAGGACCCTGACTAACAAACCTGTACAGATTTAACTATATTTTGTTTCATAGATGTTAAAAGGAAGCACCATTTTCCTAGGGTGCCTTCTAATAGCATTTTTTGTCAATAATCTCCTTTGAATTGTTCTATGCAGGGTTTGTCTCAAACTGCTAGTCTCCAGTCCAGGGAAGAATTGATGAAAGTGTCTGGGAGGATAGAATGTGAAGGACCCAACCGCCATCTCTATGACTTCACTGGAAACTTGCGCTTAGATGGTCAAAGGTATTGACAACAAAGCCATGAATTCATTTGGTTAGGAAAAACATTTCCTCTGTTCTTTTAGTCTGGAACTTGGAGCATATGCATGTTTTTGCTGCAGAAGGGGAGGATAATAATTAATATTCTTTAATTAGAGCACGTGCCAGTATAACATAATACAATTCTGTCTTTGTATATAGCCTTCTGCTTGTTATGGGAGTATTGGTTTCTTTGTAATGAATGGTGATATTCTGATAAAAGGTATATCTAAAGAGATGGACTCAAGGACATGGCTGGGGTTTTTAGGGCCTTCTTGTTACACAAGATACACAGAGGAAATGGAAACCTTTCCCTTTCAACAAGAGCCAAATGCTGCACAAAGGTCAGGTTTGCAGAGGAAAGTGATCCCAGAACCCGGAGGCTTTGTCAGTGTGTGTTCAATTTCTACAACTCTTGAAAGAAAAGTATGTAGTTTTAGTACTCAAATTCAGATTGTGACAGGTTGGTAGGAACATAGGTGTTTTATTTGGCTGTACCTCTTTTGCTTCACCAAATGTATATTCTTGGGCAGCTCAGTGCAAGAATAGCAGATGATCACTTGCATTCCACTTGGAAGTCATGTGGTTGATAGAGGCTTTCTCAAATGCTTGTTTAATAGTGTATATGATAGTGTGCTTGAAATGGATGGTCTCTTAGCAAGTTTGATGCTTCCCTGTCTTTGATGTGAGGGAGAATGTTCTAGCCAAGGTCAAGTGCAGTATATGCTTCTTTATGGCTGCCACATAATTTCTCAAGTACTGGATAAGTGGAGCAGCTTTTCCCTACTGTGCTTTAGCAGGAATTAGACTTACGGAGGTTTCAGTGCTTTCTTCAGTTGTGTGAACAATCTAAGCTCATTATTTTGCTATTACATTCTTCTCCTCTTGTTGTTTGGGGTTGTTTTTATTATAAACTGGGGAGCAAGGCTGGAAGTAGAACTATCTTCTTTAAAGTGTTACCAAAAACTGCAACATGAGCTTTTTCTTTTGCAGCCCAGTTCCTGTTGGTCCAGACCAGATCTTGCTGAGGGGAGCACAACTGAGAAACACTCAGTGGGTCTTGGGTATTGTTGTGTATACAGGACATGATACAAAACTCATGCAGGTAAAGGTTTTAAGGGGATTAAGGGTATGTTTTGATAGAAGTTGATCATATTTCCTGTATTCTTATTGACTTAATTTTATTAAACCGTCTGACTCATTATAGTTGTTTTAAGGCTTGGAGGCCTTGAAGATTAGAAGGGTCCATTGTACTCCAGTTTGCATCTGCACATGTGCAAACACAAACTGAAGTGACAGCAGTTCAATATGTAAGGAGAATTGACTTTCATCCTAATATATCTGGTAGCTGGATGACATTTAAAACTAAGGCTTAACAGCTGAGGGTATAGTAATAATAGTGGAGATAATACAGGACTCTTGTCTTAATTTAATTGCCTTAATGTCAGGGAGTGCCTGGTGAGACCAGCAACATGCATATGTTGATCACTGCTGCTGACCATCAGTGGGATGGACACAGGTGCTCTAATGGACTCTGAAAATAAAGACTGGGTTTGCTTCTGCACGTTTATCTTGTAAAAGCCATTGTCAGGTTCTTTGTCTTTTTTTTTCCCCCTGCTGCCGTTCAGAATTCAACCAAAGCACCTCTGAAGAGATCAAATGTGGAGAAAGTGACCAACATGCAGATCCTGGTTTTGTTCTGTATTCTCCTGGTAATGGCCCTTGTGAGTTCTGTAGGTGCCTTATTATGGAACAGAACACACGGCGAAGTTGTCTGGTACCTTGGCTCCAACAGTGAGTATGCAGGCACAGAACCAGTGATGTATTAGACTGCAGGGGCAGCTATGCTCTTACTTACACTGAATTAGTGCATAAAATAAGAAATAAAACCCCAAAAACCACACATCTTGCTAGTTTTTTGATGACCTAATATTTTCTTTTTTTTTTTGAGAATAGGCTGGTGTAAGTGAGCTTTCCAGTGAGGCTTCTAAAGGTTAGGCAAATATCACTGGGCTAGCACCCAAGGAGCAGGACAGAAACAGAAGAGGGGCACTTGGATATCCAGTGTTCACTTCTTTCATCTCTGTAGAGACACCATACACAAATTTTTTTCTCAGGAGGGGTCATGTACTGCAGCCTTATGTGTGTCTGACTGAATTTGACTGCAGAATGGGGAGTATCAGTTTGATGCTGACGTCAGCTTTATGCTTATATACAGATGCAAAGGATTTCTGTTCACTTATTTCAGTTAGAAATGCTGATCTGCTCTTTTAGAGAAAATTGAAATGCTAAACGTCACAATTCTTATTTATTGGGTAAAGTTTCTGTCTTTACCTTCTCTTACCTTGTTGTGAGAAAACTGATCTCTTAGCATAGTTATTTGAAGGGTTTTATTTGATTTTTTGGATTTATTAGTTCATTATCAAAGATGAACATGGACAATGAAATACTCCCCAGCAGACTTTTGAGGAGGTTACATTAGCTATAAAATGTGGTATTAAAAGCATTTTGAGATGCAGATCTTAAAGCAGTTATCACAAACTGCAAATGGCTCGTCTGCTGATGATGCAAAACAGATGGCAAGTGTTATCTTCTGCAGTTTAAGAATTGTAGTTGTGGTAGTAATGAAAAAAATCACATAAGAAAAGTGTGGAAATGCCTCATATTTGTCTCTGGGTTTTGTTAGTTGTAATGTCTTGTAGCAGTGTCAGCAACTTTCAGAATTTCTTGCCTGCTCTCCCCTTGTTTTTTAATGAGTAAGTTTAAATTTGTGCCTTCCAGTGACGGAAGCCGTACTGGAAAAGATGAATGGAATGGACTCTTGAACTTGGAATATAAAACAGGTGCAATTTGCAGTAGACTAAGATTACATTATAGTCTGTGTAGATATCTTTTTGCAAATTGAATGCACAATTTTTCTATCTTCTGTAACTGCCACACACAGGAAAGACTTTTCAGGTTCGGCAGGTAGATGTTAAATTTTGGTTAAATGTCTCATCCCTGTAAAAATTGCATTGGAAAATGTTCCAATACCAAGCATGCTTCTGTTGTCTGTGAACTTATCAAAGATATGGAATTAGGGTGTACTCACACTTTGAGGTGCCTTTGTCCGAACTCTGATCTTTATTAGGCTTCAGCAATTTTCTCTGGATTCTATCGCCTCCTAGTTTGCTCCCTGACTTCTAATTAACTTGTGATGCTGAAAACCCTTAGTTATGGACTCTGACCCTGTTGTGCTGGGTGTTCTGTGTGCTGACTGAAGTGCCTCTCTAAGTTTCTAGGGAAGTTGAGAGCATACAAATGTGGAGACTTTGATTGTAAAGAGAAGCTGTGGGCAGCACTGTGACCAGGAACCTTCATCCTGTGTCTCTGCTGTGACTTGTGCCTTCCTGTTGGCTGTCTATAAATGCTTTCCCTTCCGTTTAGGACTAGTTGTAATGGTATACTTATTTGGGCAATTTGCCCAGTGTTGTCACCATTAATAACAACTTCTTTGCTTAAGCAGGGTGCCTCAGTTCATATACTAGGCAAGTGTTTAACAGTCAACTTGTACTCACCAATTTCTTTAGTAAGGGTAAATTCTCAATTCTGAAAATGATATCAGATTTTAGAACTAATTTCAGTGTTTATTTTTCGTTACCTAACTCCACTGAGGCAAGTAGGCACTTTCTGAAAGATGGTTATATTACTAGTGACACTAGGCGCTCTTAATTGGGCAGTTGACACATTAGATAAATGTTTAAATTGGGTTATAGTGGGGAATATTGTACTTCTCACCATCTGTCTAGCAAAAATTGTTCAGCAAGTGTTCTGTTCTTTTATATATAGCCTCACCAACCTTGTCTTCTTCACCTGGTATAAAATACATGGTTCTGTGGGTGTTTTATCTACCTTCTATTGAAATCAATATTAAAATGGCCCTTACACTAGACATCAAAATAGTAGTTTATTATTTTAGCTTGGCAAAATCTGATTAGGTGAACTGCATAAAGATGATTGCCCCTATACCACTCAGACTTGTCTGCTAGTGTCCTGTGTCTTTTGATCCACAGAAATGCTGTCTGTCAACTTTGGATACAATCTGCTGACGTTTATAATCTTGTACAACAACCTTATTCCAATCAGCCTTTTGGTGACATTGGAAGTTGTCAAGTTTACTCAGGCTCTTTTTATCAATTGGGTAAGTAGCAAGAGTGAATGTATCTCAGTTCTGGATGTTGACATTGAAAATAAAAACCCACTTGACATCTTAGCGAGATTTTCTAATTACTTTTCTGATGCAACTTCTGGGAAAGGCAGGGGAAAATTCAGGTTTTATTATATATCAGTTCTGTGTTTCACAGGAAATTAAAAGATCTAGTTACAGGAAGGTCTCCTGTGCAAATGATCACTTGTATTTTAGGCTTTTAGGATGAGAAGGAAGCCTCAGCTCTTGGTTGAAGGAGGTCTCTCTTGACTGACTCATGTCCAGTAGTTATCTTTTGAAAACTCTTCAGTATCTTATAGCTTCTCTGAAATACAGCAGAGGGCAAGACTGGACTTGTTTGAAGGTGTGGGGTTTTTTTTTTGTTGTTGTTGTTGTTTTCATTGCTTTTTTGTTTTGTGGTTTTTTTTTTTTTTATCCTGAGGCTGGCCTTAAGGTCACCTCTGGAATGGACCGTAATGTTTTTGTAAGAAGATAAGTTGATGCTGCCTCATGCAATCAAACAGTGATCCCTCTGTTCAGGGGAGCTTTGACTTCAAAATGTCTTTCTCAAGTTGTGGGCCAAAAATACTGTAGTGGTGGCTCTCAAGCTGGACAAAATCAAGAGGAATACTTTTTGTTGGTATGCATTAATCCTTGGACTTTGAGTAATGTAGCAGGTTCCTATAAAACAAATGTAAATGAAGTTTAATATGTCTGTTCCCTGAGCTGCTTGTAATGTAGCAGATACGCATATCAGAGAAGCTTCTTTGGCTTGTGTAGCAGCTATTTCTTTGTTGTAACTGAAGAAGTTTATTTCATGGATCCAGTAAAATTGTCTCTCATAGATGTGGCTAGAGCAACTGTTTGTTGTAACTGACCACCTATGCTTAGTGTGGCTAATGCATGAGCTTCTTTCTACTGTGCTAAGTTTGATTTTTTTTTTTTTCTGTTGCACCTTTTTTTTATTAACTACCTGTAGTTGAATCTGTCTTTTCTCATATCCCTGTAGGATGGAGGTATACTTTGGAAAGGAGGCACCCATATTCATCCTGGGATGATGTTTATCTCATGCATTCAGAATGCCTCCTTATAGTGATAAGACAGTCAAGCCAAGTTGGAGCTGACTAAAAGAAAAAGAGAGACTTTAGTGTTTAATTTCCATAACATAAGTCTTCATTTTGCTTTCATTTCAGGACATAGATATGTATTACCCTGAAACAGATACACCTGCAATGGCCAGAACCTCAAACCTTAATGAGGAACTTGGACAGGTATGATAACATTTTCTGAAGTGTCATGATTGTGATATACTATCTCAAGAGTGAAGGTATGAGAGCAAGATGTACAAGATGTGTAAATCAGCCTTATTTTGTTGCTCTGTGGCTTGGGTTAATGGGGCATTTTTATTTTCTCTAGTCTGTGCCTTACAAGTGAAATAATGAGATATCACAGGATTAAATGTAATGTCATATAGGGAGATTTATGTTTGGGAATTGAAACTATTTCTTATGTTCACTCTAAACTTTATTCTCAAAGGTGTTGGAAAGATGCTCTGTGGTTTTGTCTGTTTGTACCTGAACAGAGCATACAGGGCTAGACTGTTATTATTTTTGATGTTTCTGACTACTTCACAGGAGATGCAAGTAAAAAAAATGCAGTTGTATTCCTAATTTAGATATTGTGCTCCTTCAAGCATTTCTATTTTCCTTTCAGATAAAGATAACTACATATTAAGTTCTAGTTGTAGGTTGGTTTATTCTGTAAATAACATTTTTTCAAACTGGAAGGGCTTCCCAGAACAAGCTTACTGGATAATATGACTTTGCTGTTGGAATCTTGTAATACTGTTGAGAAATGGTAGCTTTTTTCCTTGACCATCAAGGTTATAGGTTTGTAATGGAACTACATGGACTTTATCACAGCCATGAATTTAATATTGAAGACACCATTTATGTATTTAAAATGCATAATAATATCCTGCTCACTAGGGGGATAGTCAATATTGTTCCTGCTTAATCTGATCAGTATTTTTCTTATGAATGCTGAAATTTGATTTCTGCTTAAATCACTTTGATGTGAAGTTATCAACCTCTGAATTATGGTGTTATTTTTTGCCTGAAGTAAAGGATGTGTGGTATAATGTATGTTGGTGGCCCATATGTTATTTTCAGGAATGGCTTAATAGTGATTCTGTGTAACTAGACAGAATTTTTTGATTCTTTAATTGAATTACATGTTCACAGGTGCCTTATTTTTGTTTTATGGTGACATTATTAATGACTTAAAATTCCTCAGAAGTGTGGGTAGCCACTTTGACTTCTGGCTTGCAAAGGCTCAATTTCCAATGCTGAATTCAGTGGCAGTATAGTGCACAGCTAAAGGATCACCTTACAAGTAGTGTACTGCACTGTCTTGGGCTGAATGGCAATTATTGAGGAAAAGCTTCTTCTAACTCTAGTCAAATTATTTGGGTCTTTGAGTTGTCTAACTCTTTCATGGTATCACCATCCCTTTCTGGTTGAAAGTCTTACAGTTGTGCAGTGGTACAACTGTGGTGTCACTAACTTGCAATTAGTTTTGGTCTGGTGTAGCTCTTCAAAGGTGGGAATGTTGAATCTGCTTATGCTCCAAGAAGTTGCTTTGAGGGGTTGCCTCCAAGTTCTACCTTAAAATCACCGTTTCCATTAAGGGATTATTATTTAGGGCAGTGCTGACTGTGGCTGTGTATTGTGTACTTTAGGACTGCTCATGAGTGGACATCAGAAAAAGCAGGTTTTGTTTGCCTGCAGAGTACCAGTTGGACTTAGTCTAGCATATTCTGTGCTTACAGGTAGGGGAAAAAAAATCCCCAAACGTTCCTGGTGATCTTTGAAACACAGAATGTCTTCAGTGTGTAAAATTCCAGTGAGCCTTCCACAATCCTAAGAGTCTTTGTTTTCATTTCTAGTCACTCTTTGAGATTAGTACAGTTGAAAGATTTGGTAAATGTCCAAGTAGTGCAAGCAAGTACATCTGTAGTAACCTCACTAGAGCCTTGATAATTGATACTTACTATTTGAGCCTTTCCACATTTAGAGATAAAGAATTAATGCAATTAAATAATTTGCATGATTTTTGTTCTGTAGATTTAGTAGATAAATCATGCTGTAATAAGCCTGCATTGCCCAATATTTTGACATTTAAGCAATATGTCTGAGTATCTTGTTTTCTACTTTGAGTTTTATTACTATGCAAGTTGAAAATCAGACTTGTTCTTTCCTTTCCAGGTAAAATACCTGTTTTCTGATAAAACAGGTACTCTAACATGCAATATAATGAATTTTAAGAAATGCAGTATTGCTGGAGTGACATATGGGTAGGTATGACTTTTAAAAAAACTCTGTAGCTTAATGTGTGCTTACTACTGGTACAAAATTTTATATTAAAAAAGGATTAGAACATTCTGTTCTTCAATTTATATTGTAGCATATTTTGTGGTCTTAATTAGTAGCTTTCATTTTCCTGTCCTGCAGCGCAAATTATGAAAGTCAAACCTGGGGAGTACTTCACATGAAGCAAAGAAACTTGCTTTCTAACTTACCTAATCATGATTTAAGCAAAACCAGAAGCGCTAAATAAGCTCTGGCCTTTCAAGAGGGAAGAACTTGCAGCCCAAGTGTAGCATTTATCAATCATATTCCTGTGACTTGAGAAGACCCAGAATTTTGTTAGAACAGTGTAGTTGTCGTTATAGAGCTTAATATTCCTTGCACAAGAGGGATACCTGCTTACTGGCTTTATTCTGTTCTGTCAAAAGGATCCCTTTGAGTCATCCTCATCTTTGTATTTGCTTCATGTTAAATGGGTAGTCTTAAGATCTCAGTGTAAGTTAACCTTTGAATTTCATGTTAGCTAAATTAGATATCTCAAAAGGCAGAAAACTTGATTCAAATGTATGAACAGCTGAACCCATGGTTCCAGCATATGTTTTCGTGGGATGACTCATTGATCTTCGCCTTCCACCTATTTTTTTTTTTTTTTTTGTTACTAAACTGGAATAAATGTTCTTTTTCCTTTTTCTGCTCCTCAGTCACTTTCCTGAGTTAGAAAGAGAACGTTCATCAGAAGACTTCAGGTAAATAGATTCAAGATGTTTATGTTCTGTATAGCAGAGTGGGTACAGTCTATATAAAGACTGCTTTCCAATTTGGGAGTGGAAGAAGCCCAAGGGAGGAATGCGTTTGAGTAAAATGGTCTTCCAGTGGGAGCCTAATGCAGAGCTGGTGGGTGGTGATGGATCTACTCTTCTGCATAGAGACTTCATATGTGAGGGGGGTGAGGAATAGGCAGTGGCTGGGATGCTAATGCACTGCTTATTTATAATTGCAGACAGTCAAGTTAAAATCTAAAATTAACTTTCTTTGCAGGAACCTTACCCCTAGCTAGAGGCTGAATGTTGCTCTTTGTGATCACTGAGTTCAGGCCTGAAGAGAATGAGAAGAAAAGGGACTTCTTTATTAAAATGCTATGTTTCAGTAATTAAACTGGGAGAGAGTTTGATATGTAGGCCTGTCATGTCCAGAGAATCTTTCTTGTTTTTTTTGGGAACTTTAATGAATCGAGATTATGGATCTGTCCCATTCCACAGAAACTAGTGAAGTTACAAGGTATCAGTGAAACATGTTGAAATTATTGGGAAGGAGGAGAAGAGCCAGGCAGGGCTGACATGGATTTGAATGGCAAATGCAGGGAAGAAGTGAATTCCCACCCAAGAAACAAGTCAAGGCTGAATGCTGTTAGAAAAGCGCTTGGTGATGAGCTAAGCTGGGCTTCTCCACTGGTCCAGCTCATTTTTATGATCATGTTTTAGGGAGGTGATAAAATGTTTTTTCCACTGAGAGGTAATTTCTAGGATCCCTCTTTTCTTCCAATATATTGCTGTTTCTTTCATTGCTGTGTTTTCTTTCCTTGTACCTTTCTTTTCTATTCAGTTCTGTGAAGTTTTTTCTAGGTACTTACTTGGAGTACTCAAACTTAAAATCCTCCAGGGGTCAGCTTTAAGCAGAATGCTCTGACTAGGGAGGGAACTTAGGGATATTGAACATTGATCTATTTTATGAGCAAGCCACCCTGAAGTGCATTTATATTAAATATGCTTAAAAATTGCTGTTGCTACATCTGTCCCAGGAGCTGCATTGACACTTGAGTCTTCTGAAATACACTGTCAATGATAACCATTTTGGGTTTCTTGCTAGTGTTCATTTTCAGCACTTGCTGCATTACTCATATGATCTTTTCACAATGCTTTCAAGGACACTGGAGTCTTACTTTGCCAATCTTAGTACTTCATCTAGTTTCTTGGGAAGCAAATTTAAAAAGCAATGTTGTCACTTGTTTGAATATGCTTGTTTTGCTCTGCAGCCAGCTACCTCCTTCCACCAGTGAATCGTGTGAATTTGATGACCCAAGACTGCTGCAAAACATTGAAAATGATCATGTAAGTCTGCTCTTTGAATATCACGCTTTTAAATGCCCTATTCTAGGCTTGTCTGGAATTGAATGCTGAACAAATCTATTTATGTGATTAAGTCTGCTCTGTGAGTGTGTCATGCAAGCACAGAGGGGGTAAATTGGAATCAAAATAGCTCCCTCCAACGCCTTTCTGCCCACTTGTCTTACAATTGAATTAAAGAAGCAATGGCATTGATATGGATTCTAGCTACCTCTAAGGCAACTTCATATATTCTGTTGTACATGTAAGATAATACTTTGTAACAAGTTAAAATAAAAATTCAAATTCCTTAAAATAAAAACTACTTGGAATGTTGAGCATCTGTACCATTGTAAACTGTAATCTGTAGCATTACAAGGTGGTCCTGGAATGAGCCTTAAGTATTACAAGGGTTTGGAATTCTAGTTATGTAGAGGATGTGAGAGATGGGAATTAATTGCAAATTCAAGCTTGGCATGAGCCTTAGCCTAGCTGTTGAGTCCTAAAGGGACCTATTCTTTACAGTGTCAGTTCATTGTTTATTTGGAAATCATGTGGGTATGAAGTGTCTGGTGTCCAGACAATTAATTCACCTGCCAAAAAGCATGACTCTTCTTCTCTGCAGGCTGTCTCACAGTATGGCAAGAACAAATGCAATCAGCTGATTGCTCTCCTTCAACAGTATAGCTTTGTAACTGGGCTGGTTAAGTTTAGTATGAGCATTTAAAATATACTTGCGATATACAGTTTGTGTGCAGGAAAGCTTTGCTTTCTATTCTGCTGTGCAGTACTTAAGAACTGCAGAATGGTGTGAATGCTGTAGGGGAGTAATTACTTTGTGTGGCACTATGTATTCTGCAGGGTGATGGAGCCTAAAGGTGGCTGCTGGACTCTAATCTCCAGCAAGGTGACCCACTCTGGACAGTGCCCTGGTTTCCTATGTGGCTTTTGTACTCATGTACTCTGGAAAGATTTCCTACTGGACATGACTTGCAGCCAAGATTTGCGCATGTTCTGTTCTTGTGTCATATTTGTTCATTTATTTTATAGATACAGTTATGGCTTATGGCACTTGCTGACTCCAGGTATTCATTTTGGTTTAGGTGTAAACTGCTGGTAAAAAGTGAGCTCTTTCTGGCTGCTGTTGCTTTAGGTATGCATAGAGAAAAATGCTTTGGTTTATTTTAGTAGACTAGGGGAAGGGATGTATCTCAAATGAGCTGTGAGATGGAATTTCTCACCTAGCCTTGAGGTGGCCCCTTATTTTAGGGCTACCTTATTATTTGATCTTTTCTGGGTAGTTTCTGCTTTGGGGGATAGAAGAAATATATGCTGTTGTAGCAGGCAAATAAGGGATTTTGGTAGCTTCCTTAAGTGTCATTTAGTCTAGACAGCTCAGAAGTCTTCTACGCTGAACCCTTTTCCAGTTTCCTTTTTGCTGGTCACTTAGACAAATATTGATGTCATTGTGCAGCTGTATGTTGGGCAGAGCATGCTGTGTGAACTCAGCCCTCGAGAATGAGTGGGGAAATTACTGACCAAAGATACTTTTCAGAGCCTGACTGGAGGAATGGGTGCCACCCTCTGGTAAGTGGTGATTTAGCATAAGACAAGAGAATGCAAGGACTGCTTATGACAGTTTGTTGAGCATGTTTGGATGTATTTTTCAGGCTGTGGGTGGAGAGGAGGACTGAATTCCAGCATAGTGGTAGAGGGGAGGGTCTTTCTGGCTTTTTTGCATTAGGTCAGCTGCTGAGGTGCATAAACTACTACTTTCTATCTAAAAATGTGTAGCTGCTGACAGCTACAGATGCCGTTTGCAGATGTCTGTCAATTTCTACTCATTTAGTGAGCTGTGGTGAAAAACTGAAGTGTTCTAGCATAAGCTACCTAGTGAAGTTAGGTGGTGCTGTACTTGGACAATTAATTCCCTCTAAACATTTGCCATTCTGCAGCTGAAGGTATAAGTGTGATCTCTTACATGCTCTCGTTAAGTGTTCATTGCTCTGGTCTTGAAGATTTTTTTTTTTTTTTTCAGTTCAGTCACAAGTGTTCGTTTAGAACTGTCTCAGTGCCAAGTAATTTTCTTTCCAGGTTGAAAATAAAAAAATATGTACTTGTACTCATGAGACTGTCTTCCATCTGCTAGGAAGATTTCTAGCATCCTGCATCACCTCTAAATTTCATAGCTCTTCTGGGCCACTGGTGTGTAAGGGCTGACTGATAGCCAAGTCCATTTTTGAGCAGCAGTTAAAGAATTATTGCCCTGTAGGAATTGTTCCAGGGAAAAATAACTTGTCTTAAACATGTGGAGGTTTCTCTTGGCTGTTCTGGTATTTTAATGTGGGAAAAAGCACCTAGCTTTGTCTGCCTGTGCTTTTTTTTTGTACTGTCTTCTGTTGGATGAACTGTGCAGCTGTACCAAGTCTATGATGCTGTCTTGTTTCTGTAGAGAAAATGGCATCAACTCTTAGTCTAATAAGGAAAGATCTATTTCTTCCTAAGACTGGAAGCAATGTTTGGTGAATATGCTCGATGGTCTTTATCTTGGTGCTTGCTAGATGCATATGTCCTGTGAATGAGCTCAGCACAGAGATGCAAGCCTGTTTGATGTGGGGTTATGTTTTACACTGATGATAGAAGAGCAGGGGAGGAGGTCAAGAAGGAGCTAACAGACTGGGTTCTCATCCTACACTTCTGTATCTCCCAGGATTCTCTCTGAACTTCATCTGCCAATTTCAATTTGCATTTGAACTTTCTCCTGTGGCCCCCAAATTATCTCTTGGCATAGAAGCAGCAAACATGGTATAGCTGGAGATGCATGAATTGGTTCAGTGAGTATGTGTGATGAGTACTTTAGCAGCTGGCCAGGCAGAACAGACAACTGTTGTGCTCACACTGAGCCTTTACCACACAAAGTGTTTGTTTAGACCTCACCAGCACATCTGATTATTCTTGTGTAGTGTGTGGGAACTGAGGCTATTATCCCATCAAGCTTTGTTGAAATGACAGCTATCATCAGCTGATTCTTAATTCCATAGGAAAGCAGAACCTGAAAAATTTATCATGGCTAACTGGGATGAAAAACTGGGATTTGAAATACAGTAGGGGAGAACAACATTCAGGTGATGAAATTCTATGGGAGGCTTTAGTTCAGATTGCTGGAAAACTGTCCAAACACATAATTTTATAGCTCACAATTACATTGTTAGAGCTTGGTGAGATATATTTTTCTCTTATCTGCTTTTGTTCTTATTGTGCGTGGGATGTCAGTACTTTGGTTCAATTACAAGGCAGTATCTTTAATTATAGGTCATACCCTGTTGGTTTTGGGCAAGATACACTTGCATTTAACTCTTTTGAAAGCTGGCTAACATCTTCTCTCAATCTGTGCCTGAAGTATCTTGGTCTCCTCCAGTCCTGCCAGCGTCATTGTTCTGGATGTGTTCAGCATGGCTGGATCCTCACACTGTTCTCCACATAATTTAGTGAACTAAATTAAATGGTAGGAAGTTCATATGTTTTTAAGATGTTGAGTCGTAATTCTCCTTGGTTATTAAGTACATAAGCATTTTCACTGTTTTCTTTGGCAGAATGTGCCACTTACATGCCAAGTAGTAAGTTCAGGTTGTTAGACCGTGCTTTAGTATTCCACCGGCTATTTCTAGGCCATTTGCACAAAAAACTAGCAGTCCTGCTTACCTGAAAATACTGTGAATGAAGGCACTGATCTGATACTGCTACAACTAAAGGAAAGATGAAAAGATATCTTTAACTTCACATGAAAATTCCTTGTAGTTTTATCAGACTCTTAACAGTTGAGAAACATTGTCTTCTGAGCGACGAGTCCAGGTAAGGACATATGTGACATGTGCAGATATGAAGCTCTGCACAGGACAGTTTGCTCCCCAAAAGGCTGAGGCTTGTCTCGGTGTTTTGTTCCTCTAAATACAGGAACCATGAAGGGATGAAAACCTGGTTTCTGCCCAGTGGTTTTCTTGATAATGGATAGTGCTGTGCCTACCAGATAGCTAAATTTTGCTTTCACTGAGGATAGTGCTTTGTAGATAACAATCCAGAATCTTTCCAGAAGCAGGAGACCATTGCAATGTGTGTGTGGCTTTCAGATGATAGGGACAGCAAACAAAATTCATCCAGTGGAGTGTATTTCTTGTGTAGATGTTTGTACACCAGTTTTTTTCATGGATTTTTGGGGTGAAAAAAAGGGAAGAAGCAATTGCTTTCGCCCAGAGTTGTTGCCACACTAGAAGTTCTCTTTAAATGAGAACTACCTGTGGACTGATGAATAAGGTATTAAAATATGCAAACTTTGCTCCAACTACAGATAAATGGAGAAATAAAAAGTGAGGCAGGAAGAAATAGGGCTGACCTTAACACATGAACAGGAAAGAAACATCTCACAGAGACCATCAGTAAAAATACTGTCAAAGACTTGATAGAGGAAAATAAGTAATAAAGCTGAATTGGTTAAGCTGTGGGGCTTCTGTCCTGTGCTGGGATTCACCTCAGCATATTGGAAAGGATATGTTGCCACAGAAGCCATTAACAGATTTTTCTGTTCACAGGTCCAAATCAGGTATTTGAATGCTCTATCCTGATTCATGTCTGTGCAACAAATATTGTCAGTGCTGGAACAGTACAGAAAGGAAACAAATGACAGCTGTGTGGAGGAGCTGTTGTGATAAGCTGGGCCTCTGGTGATCTGTTTTAACAGAATTGGAAGATTGCCCTGTAATACATTGTGAGCTGTGAAAATACCATGACAGCAGCAAATTATTTTGCTGGCTTGAAAACATAAATACATACTTAGGAAGGATTAAAATCCATGTCACTACTGGAGACAGGTTGTTTCCAGCTGATAGAACACATACTGTGAAAGCTTGTTAAGGGGCTAGGTGATAAAAGTGTAAGGCTGACATCAAAGGTCTTCAGCAACAGATGCTGAAATGAGAATCTGGCAGGCTGTGCCTTTTGACATGGAGATAAAACTTTCATTACTTTGTCTGGAAATGATGGAACAGCAATTACCTCTTGACTGTAATTTGCTGTGGACTTATTCAGACAGTAGTGTATAAATATGTTTGATTTCCTCAGCACAGCCTCTGCACCCCAGCATATCGAAAGCAACAACTCTTGTTATTTTAGTGGCATGTGACCATACAATTTGGAAGTTTCAGTATGCAAAGGTAAAGTTCCTATGTGAAACAGTTACTTTGAAAATATTCATGACAAGGTACATTAAGTATTTTGAATATAGGGCTAAGAATATACAGCTTGGATTTTCAGTCTTTTTATTATGTTACTTTCAGATATGCTTACATTCTTTACACACATTGCCACAGTGTTTGCCAGCTGACATGGTTTTGTGGCTTTCATTCTACTAGTTAAACCTGCATATTGTCAATGCATATGCTGTGCTAATGAAAGATTTGGAACCTAGATGATAATTTTATATGCATTAATTCTTTGAGAGTTTGCAAAGTCAAGTAGGGCTTTCTGCAAAGATAGTTCATGTCTGAGTCACTGAGCAAATGGCTGCTATGCTATTTCTGGCTGCTGTGAGGCTATAAATCCTGTGCCAGAGGCAGGGATGGAAAGGAGGGAAGAATGGGATGAGGGACTTAATTTCACATCGCTAAAGGTTGCAGTTGCCACAGTTGGCTGATCAGAGGCCTGTGATTTAAGTGCTGACTTTGCTGAGTTGCAGACCTAGTGTCTGTTTAAGCACTTTGGAACAGTGGTTTATGTTGCATGTTCTCTTTATGCTAAATGTAGAGACCATAGATTAATTTTATGCTTGACTGGGTGCTGTATTCCTTTGGAAGGACATATGATGTTTCTTTCTACTGGCTGTTCAGCTGCTCTTAGCTCTGGATGTTCATCACTAAGGGTGAAGTTGCAGCAAGTTTATTTCTGGTGAGGCTGCTGTCAATCTGTTGGAAGCTGCCATTAGTAATATTTCCTGTTGCTAGATTTCCATCATATTGTAGCAGGTGTCTTTGCCTATATGAAGCTTGTTGTGCTAAAGAAGTAATGCTTTTATGGCTGGGGGGTGAGGGAATGCTCAGCCTTCTCAGCTCTCTGCAACTTGAATGAGGTCCTTATCAATAGTTCTCTAGTTCATCAGTGCTGGCCCTAAACTGTTCTGTCTTGATGTCCTGAGGTCAAAACAACTGCTATAAATAGAGAACAGAATATGTTTGTTTGTTTGTTTGTTTTTCCCTGTGGTACCTAAGAGATCATCTCAGTTTAGTGAGCAGGTTCCTCAGTCTCTGTGCAGTGCTAAACCTCACTCTCCTGGTGTCCTGTCTAGCCCACAGCTGTACATATACAGGAGTTCCTCACGCTGCTGGCCGTGTGTCATACTGTTGTTCCTGAGAGACAAGGAAATACAATAATCTACCAGGCCTCCTCTCCAGGTTTGTTGTTGCTTTCTTTTTTGGGAGGGAAGGGAATGAGTTGAAGGAGTGGAGGTAGATGGAAGGAAGGTCCATAAACTTCTAGGTAATTTGTTTTGAAAGCAGAATGTCCCCTACCGTGCTAGCAGTAGATCTGGCATCTTCTATAACCAGTACACAGTGGTTTTGAATGCTTCCTGCAAAACAACCATAGTCCATGATGTTTCTTTAGAGTTAGGCTGGGCTTAGGATCCCTTCTTCACTCATGAGACTGTGTACTCTTTCTGCAGGGGTGAAAATAAAAGATTTTGAGTGTGTAGGAAGCAATGATTTGTTTCTGCATGAGCAGTTACGTTATTGCCTGTCTACAAACTGTCTTGATCTAGTATCTGCTTAGAGTAAGATAGAAAACTATCAAGTGCTGATACGTGACACAGTGCAACCAAAACTTTCAGAATCTTGGCAGTATTCAGGCCTGCTCTAAACCCATTTTTTTACTCTTTTCAGTTAGCACAGACAGAGCTAGGTGGGGCCAGATTGGGGAATGTTGCTCTCCATTAAATTTATCTCTGTTAGTGAATATATTTCTAGAATTGCTGCAGTTGCGTATTGAGTGATGAAGCAGCCTCATTTCTTATTTATGTCTTAATAGGGTGTCTGAAAAGTAGGATAAAGAGCTCATATAAGGAAGCTCTGGTCAGCGTGATGTACCATGAGGAGACTAAGGGAACTGTAGAGACATGAGGGTTGCTTGAATTAGGCACTAAGTCCACCTATGTGATGGTTTTGCTTAATGATGCTTGCTCCTTAAGGAGGCTCTGTAATTATCTACGGGAGGCACAGGTGTTGGCTCTGATTGCAGCTGTGTTATTTGAGCTCTTAATAACACTGCCCAGTTGAGTCTCCAGAAAACAATATTGTATTTCTATAGTGCCTGAACTTAGTGCCTTCCCAGCAGAAAATGGATCAAACACATACTGTAGGAATTGAACATAACGGAGCTTTGTTCTTGCTTTCAGAACAAGTATTTCCCCTTTTTCATGTGGAAAAGTATGGCACCTCCACAAGAATAGAGTTCAATGCTTCAGTAGTTACAGGATATCTTATACAGATTAAGTACTAGGTTTGTGTAGTTGATATTGCACGGCCTTTGTAGGACTAAAATCTTGAATGTTCTTGTGGAAGGGTGTGCAGAACTACTCTAATATAGCTATGGATGGGAGTGCACAGGAAAGAGTTTCTGTTTTGGCAATCTACCATATTGAAGTATGGGTTTTGGAGGCCTCTAACATACCAGGTTAAATTCAAGCTTCTTTTTTTTTTTTTTTTTTTTTAATTTGGTTTGTTTTTGTTTTCGTTTCGGCAGATGAAGGAGCATTAGTGAAAGGAGCAAAGAAACTTGGTTATGTCTTCACAGGACGGACTCCCCACTCTGTTATCATCGATGCGGTAAGTGGTTTGGGTGGCACAGGCTGCCAAGCTCTTGCAGAGCATGCAGATGTCCTCTCTGGTCACTGTGAAGGCCCTTCTCCAGGGCCTTTAGGATGCTACAGATGCAAGGAGCTTATGTACACTGAGAAAAGCTGTCTTAATATATTTGAAGATGCCAAGTCCTTTGCCTGTCTATGTGGCATGAGTGATAGGAAGCTGCAAACTTACATGGGTAATTACATTTGTGCCTGTAAAATATTTCCTTTGTCCAGCAAGCACAGATGGGAGCACTCGCATTAGAAGGAAATTCATGTGTCTGGGATGTTTTCTGCCTGTTATACTTAATGGTTGCTGTTCTTCTAAATGTTTCATTTTTTTTCTTCTGAGTAAGATCTTCAGTAGAAGATGTATCTGTCTGACAGGCTGTGTATACAGGGGTATGTACTTACTGTATTACAGTTGATACAGGCAGCCCCAGACTCATGGGGCGACATTCAGACTCAGGTAGCAGTCTAAGCTAAAGAGGCTCCAGATTTACACAGGTGCAGCTAGTAGGGTGCTTATTAAGAATAATGAATATTTTTTGTCCTTCCTCTCAGGTATCTTCTCTTTCAAACTTCTTGGTACACTGTGAAGCTAAGCACTTGAAACATATCTTCTTGGACTTGTCATAAACTTTTTGCAAATTCTCAAACTGCTTCTTAGGTGAAGGGGAAGAACTGAGGATGAGCAATGTCATCTAGAGCCATCTAAATGCTTCTCTGCTCTGCAGGAACAGCCAAGCCTACCTGGCCTAGTTGTATACTCATAATGCAAAGCTGGGGGCATTGTTAATCTATAGCCAGGAATAAAAACTGTCATTCCCAGAGATTCCTGTCTCTCTTGACTGCCTACATCAGTGACAGCATGTAGAAAATGGTTTGGAAGTGCTTTTTAATCTTGGGGATGTTGCTGAATTGATATGTGCCTAGGACATGTCTTTACCACAATTAGATTTTACTGCTGCACTTTCTTTAACTGCATGCTGCAAATAGCACTGGAGTCCTATGACTCTGGTAACTCCTACTGCTCCTTCTGTGCATTATACAGCAGGAATGGCAGGTGTTTTAAAATCTTTGTCCTGCTTCAGGTTGTTCTTGCTCAGCCCCAGCAGAGAGTTGCTGGTGACAACAGGAATTTCTCCTCAGTTAATATTTTATTGGCCACGAAAAATAGAATTAATATTTTTGTGAATTCAAATAAAAGAAGTACGAATGGAGGTCAGTCAAAGGTTATTGTAATACTAAACCTGGGGGGAATGCTTATTTTAACTTAGAAGAATGCCTACAGCCTGTAACATGTTTTTTATTTGATGGCTGTTGAGAACCAAATATGCTTAGCTTTCAGAGCGTTTAATCAAAAAGGGTATTAACTCCTTGTAATGGTGTAGCAGTAGTGAATGAAAGATGCTACAATAGAGGATGTTGAATTGTTCATTAAATAGGGCTCTGCATCCTTTAACCAGCGGAGGGAGCCATTGCCACATTTATTTACACTGGGATAAGTGACAAAGGCACCTGAGCTCAGCTCATGTGTTTGCACATGTAAGAATATAATCTACTCATAATAGTACACTCTTTCTTTTGTTTTCTTTTTTAGCTGGGGAAAGAGAAAACCTTTGAAATTCTTAATGTGCTGGAGTTTTCCAGGTAAGTTTTCCTCTAATATGTGAAATTCAGGGTAATAAGAAAATTCTTCTTATAAAAAGATATTATTTAGAATAAAATGTTTTGGCTGATACAGTAGGAAAGCAGAACTTCCTTAATTTTTTGTCCTACCCTTTAATCTTATTTCTGATATACTATGAATTAGTTATGAACTGGTGGCTGTTGATTGGCATGGCATCATTAAACTTTTTCCTGCCACTGCAGCTCTCTTCATTTATTGAGAAGTTGCTGACCTGGAAGCATTTTGCTGTGACTCATAGAAATCTTGATTTGTCCCTTGTCTACTTCAAGAACATACTTTGAGATTGCACTTCTACAGTGCTTCTGCAAACTACTTGTTGAGTAGATAGAAACTGTACCTGGAAGTGCTTCTTCTTAAGAACAATACCAGCTGTGAAAATATAAACATTGCAAGCACTCCTAATTTGTCAGACTCATTAGGATGGGCATTGCTTGGGTAGCAAGAAGTTTTGATGAATCAGGCCTCTAAATGACTGGAAATAACAGTGGGCTTTCTCTTTGTTAGTTGATAAAATTATGTCCATTTGGATGGTGCTAGTCAGCATTCCTTTTTTTCTGTTGTCCCTTATTTTCTGCTCTTGCTGAGGATTAAAACCTTGAATTCTTGCTCTCTGCTGTCTTTGAGTTCACTGGTCGTGCTCTAAAGGACTATGTAAAACTAAAGATAGGGATGATTTGGGTAGGTGTCTTTTTTTGGGTCCTGACTTGCTTTGAAGATTATTCCTGAGTACTTCCCTCTTTCCAGTTAGAATATAGCTACTTATGCTACATGGGGCAAGTATCTGAAAAGACACTGTAAAAGTCTTTGAGGATTTGTGATAAGCTGACCAGCACCTTGATGTCTGTAGGCAGGAGTAGCCACAGCTTGCATGCAGCAGAAAAAACTCTGTCTTAGTTCTCCTCTGTGTAGCACCTTCTCTCCTAACCACTGAAGGAGCTCTGTAATTAGCTTTCTAAAAGCACACAGAAGTTTCCCAATATCATTAGGATGTTGCAGAAATTTTGGGCACAGGTAACTGCTGTCCTTCCAACCCCTCTTCAGAAAGCCTCAGAAAGGATTTGTTTGTTTGATGATATGTGCCAAGAGCTTACTATAGTAAACATGGTTCTTGAGCTCTGAAAAGTGACTACATTTCTCAAAGCAACCTCAAAGAGGAGAAAGAAGATTGCTCTACACTGTGGTTGTACATGTTGGCAAAAACATAATGAGTAAGGAGGATGCTTCCAGGTTGGTCCTTTTGCTAAGGCAAGATTTACATGTAACCACACATTCTTAGGGCTCCCTTGATTAGATTTGATTTGTTTGCTTTTGCCTCTTGTAAGCTGTGGGTTTTTTCCAGTGGCTCTTTTGAAGGAGAGATTAATAAGTAAAACATCAAAATTTCTTAAAAAAAATTATCCTTGCCTGCCTTCCTTTGTTAAATGTACACTATGCTACTATCTGCAATTTTTTTAAAGACATATGCCAAACTTAACTATCCTGTCCTTGCTCAGGGGGTCTGACTTCCTTCTTCTTAGTTCCAACTTTGTGGGTCTGATTAGATCAATATAAAGAATTGATAGAGGCCAGGAACTGATCTATACCATGATTACTTCCTATGTTTTTGCTCTCTTTTAAGTTAGTAAGTTAAATAACTGCTCTTTTAAGTGGATGGTTGTTTCAATGGCTGTTATGCCTATACTAAAGATATAATCAGCCCTAACAATTCCATTTCTAGAGTCCCCAAAGCAATTTTGCTTGAAGAATAAGGAAAAACTGATACAGAATAATGCAAATAAATGTGACTCCCCTTCTTTCAAGATGATTTTTTACTACCTTGCTCTTTTTTCAAATTCTTGCTTGCATATGGGTGTAAGTCTGGAATACTTGCCAATGTGAGAAATAGGGCTGAAGCTGGAAATGGGCAATTTAATATATCTCCTTGTGGTCAAGGGTTGTGGGATCTTAAGTTACTGCTGCTATATCTCATTTAATCTCAGATGCACAAAACACATCTGAGAAAATTCACTGGCTAGAACAGGAATTACTCTTCACCACTTTGACTAATGAAAGCAAATATTTTTATTTCAATAGCAACAGGAAGCGAATGTCAGTGATTGTTCGAACTCCGGCAGGACAGCTACGTCTCTACTGCAAAGGGGCTGTAAGTAATTATGCTGCCTAATGGAGAACACTGCCAGTTATTGTTTCAACAGCTGTGGCTGATACTGACATTTCATGTCTCATACATAATACCTGTTGGCTTTCTATTTAGGGTCAAGTGATTTAAGAGAGCTGTCATTCCTGCTCTGACTCCTTTTGCAGGCTGGAAGACTGCTAGGCTTTCTACTGCCCAGTTGAAATCCTGAAACTAATGGGAGCAGTACCCTTACTGCAAAACCAGGGCTTCACCCAGCTGTGCAGAAGTTCAGGAGCTAGAATAAATGCTGAATTTATAACACTGAAATTTCTTCTCAAGTGCTTGGCTCTTGATCTGGCTTTCTTGCATCTCTGCACCTGCTGTTATTTGTCATCATGACTTGCACCATGTTGTGCTTCTGTCTTCACTGACAAGAGCAATAACTTAGCACAGTACAAAGGTTCCAAAACTAGCATTGTCCACAGCCAGAGAGTGGTTCTAATTTCAGTGGGAAACTATGAAGCTGGCTTTTTGCAACAGGGAAAAACTCTTTCTGACCTCTGTGAGGATCTGGTTTGCTTGAATCTGTCATGACATATATGTCAGTGTTCACTGCTCTGTTGCTTCCATTTACCTCCCCTGAGGTAAATGGATTTGATAAAGATGTGCTGGCTTCATTCTGGTGTGTTAGAAGTGAATGAAGCCTGCTGCCATTGTGTGGTAGTTCACAGTCCTATGCCTAATAGGACCACACAGACTTGAAAATTGTTTGTTCATGCCATGCCTGAGTTCACACCATTCTTTGCAGTGTGGCACTTAAAGGGATGGAAAACAGGAGAGTTTGTGGTACAAATTCTTGCTGTTTTCTGTGTGAACAGACCTAGGTACTAATGTGCTGCATCTGCACTCATGTGAACTGTAAGTTAGCTGACTATTCTGCATTAACTCTTCCACATTCTGGTAGCCATCCTCTGTCCTGTTGCTTCCATAATAATTCGGTTTTTATGGCTGTCTCTTATCAGCTCTAGATGTAGATGTCCACTTAGTTTAAAAGCAGATGTCTGAGTAGGATTTCTGTATTACATGTGTTTGTAAAACTTGTTCTGGTAGTTATAAATAAAACCCAGAGACTCTATATATGTAGCTGATGCTATATTTTGATTTCAGCTGTTAATGGAGCCTTTTCAATTGTCCTTTGATTTACTGATAAAGAAAGCTGCTGCAGGAAGAAGGTTGTTTCTGAGAGAATGTTGTGGTAGAATGATCAGTGTTTCTGCCTATTTTTTAACATCAGTAGAAATCTTTTCTGGAAAGGATTGCAGGAAACTCTACTGCACAGGACTGCTATATATACAATGAATAAGATCAGACATTTGTGTTGTCTGAAAGTCAATATATTGGCTTAGTAATTCATAGAGAAGTGTTCTGTACTGCCCGTAATGGAGACCTCTTTATGGAAAGAAGGGAGGAGGGCAGAGTGTGTTTTTCTCCCCATGATTTTTAGTGGATGCAGTATCTCTGCCACTGGGTGCAGTCCAGATTAATTACTCAAAATCAATCTCTAAACCCCAAGTATATTGTAAATACAGTTTTGATTCTGATATTAGCAAGTCCATTCAGGTTGCTTCTCTTGAGCTTGTAAATACACAAATGGCTACTTCATATGTAGACTTACTCTGTTGTAATTAATTTGGTTTTAATAGGATAATGTAATTTTTGAGAGGCTTTCAAAAGATTCCCAGTATATGGAACAAACATTGTGCCATCTCGAATACTTCGCCACAGAAGGTAAGAGAAACAGCATGTCATAAGAATTCAGTTCATGAAATTATTTGCAGTATTTTCTGCCTTGTCTAAGCTCTATGGTGTCAACTAAGATGATTGTGAAGCTAATTTAAGATGGAGTGTGTTATCAGCAAATTAACAACTGTAGGTTGACTTTAAGGAGGTTTTTGTCCAACTTCTCTCTGACTTCAGTAGGGAAGTGGAATTTGGAAGCAAAAGGTAGTGTTCTGTGTGTCCATGATGAAGGGAAAGGGCATGAATTGTGGTGCCCAGAATAACTGAATTACAATGAAGTTAGAGGTGTTTTTGCCAGGGCAGAAGTTGGATGCCAGCATCTCTGGCTTTATAAATAAGAGTGACAACCTGAATGTGTTGGGAAGCCTGGTAAACTGAAACAAAGTGATCTGAAAACTGGAAAACTTACAGACTAAAAGGTCTGTAAGACTGATTTAACACCTCTGTTCCCTGTGAAGCTAGCATTGTTCTCTCTTTTGTCATAGCATAGGATACATGAGTTACAGTAAAACCATGAACCAAAGTATGAAAATACCAATTTTTTTTTGCAGACTCCCATGTTCTCAGTACTGGAACTTTTGTATTTTATGGCACACACTCCTTTTTACTTGATTTATGACAGAAAAGGAAATCATTACTTCTTTATATTAATTTTTGCCAGTAGTCTAATAAACTGGTTTTCATACTTCATGGATCCTCTTCACCATATTGTGCATGTTTGTGTGAGCTACATTGGTACCCTGAAGAAGAACACAGTCTTGCTAAAAGGAAGCACGGCCTGTGCAGGATGTTTGACTAAGTAATATGACAATTCACAGTATGGAGCCCGTTCTTTAATACAATGTTTTTAAAATACGTGAAGGGCAAGCTTGCTTTCACACTTAGTAAAAGTTTTTTTCCAATACTTTCTTGATCTCACCAACATTGTAGCCAAAATGAACCAGATTTGTGCTTTGTATTTGTGGAAATCCAACTGCTTTAAAAAAAATGTACTGGGAGATTTTTTAACAGTGTGTGTTAGAAGCTTTTGTTGTTCCAGCTTGAGGGTTAGAATTTAGCATTCATTACCTATGAATGTTTGATTCAATGGAGTTCTACTGTGGGTAATGGCTGTCTTCTGTTTTGTAGGTCTGAGGACATTGTGCATTGCTTATGCTGATCTGTCAGAGAAATCTTACAGAGAGTGGTTGAATGTCTACAATGAATCCAGTATGGTTTTGAAAGACAGAACTCAGAAGCTGGAGGAGTGCTATGAGATCATTGAAAAGGTAAAACATACTTTCTTGGTGATCAGATGCTGATTCCCTTATATGTGTATTTTCCTGTGGAATTTGGGCTTTATACAATGAAATAAACTGTTAATTTAATAGATGAGAAACTGGAAGGATGTTCTTAGATGGTAACCTGTTCAGTCTGCAGTTTAAATCTGTAAATCTGAGATGAATTTATGGATAAAAAAATAATTTTTATTTAAAACCCCTTTTCTCACACTTTTTTTATCTTCCTCTTTTGTGTAAGATTGTTGTAACTTGATAAAGATTATATGTGGAAATCGTTGTGTTGCACTAAGTTCTCCTGTATTAGGGTATGAAGAAATGTGTTCTTTTCATACAGCAGTCACATTTCAAGGTTTTTGAAGGCTGTTGTAGGCACAATGTAGAGCTCACCAATACCTGTAGGGGCATGGGCTAAAAAAGATGAAAACCTGCACTGCATGCAAATTGCAGAGCTCTTAATTTTAGAAGGGGAAAGTAGGTATCAGAGAACCTGTTTTGAAACGCTAATCAGTGAACAAAATGTCAAAATGTCAACGCTAGGGGCCAGTGTTTCTCTGAGCCTTGTCGGTCCTGCTGCTTTCGGAAGTACTGGTAGTTGCATTCCTCACCTGCACAGGTTCATGCTATTCCCTCTTGCCCCAGGTATTTAATTTTATTTAGTGGTTTCTTTAAAACATGTTTTGAACTTTAATATATTTTAAAATTACTATTAAAATGCTGCTTAGGCTCTGGAGCACTGTTGTTTATTTAAGTTAGTTGGGGCAAATAGTAGAATTATAGAATGGCCTGGTTTGGAAGGGACTGTAAAAATCATTGAGTTGCAATTCTCCTGCTGTGGCCAGGGACACATTTCACTGCACCAGGTTGCTAGAGCTCCATTCAAGCTGGCCTTGAATACTTCCAGGGGTGGGACATCCACAAAGAGGTCAAGACTAGGATAGGAGCTAACTTGCATGGGGTAAGAGAAAAGCTTCAGGAACTCTTTCTGTAAGAGCTGAAGATTGGGTCTTCCCTTTCCAAGTCATGCCTGAAATGTTTTTTTGCGTTTATTGTGTGTCAGTAACAGTGTGGTTATCTCATCCTTGGTTCTCTAGGTTTGGGTAGCTCCTTTCAGCTTTCTTCTTTCATTGTAGTCTCATACTCATCTGTTTTCACCAATGTGAAATATGAACATCACTTTAGCTGTACATTAAAATGTGTTCTCAAGCTTTAGGCCATTTTTGGTCATCTACTTCCTGCCCTTTTCACAATTTAGTATCTTTTTTAAGAAAAAAGGGAACCTGTGAGTGGGTTGTAGAATTGGAGTTAGGAAGTATTGACTGTATTTCTTCCTGTTAATGTTTGCTTGCTGGTTATGCCAAGAAGCAGGCCTTAGAGATAAGCTGGCATTTGGCTGTAACACAAAATATATTTCTACAGGCTGGATTTTTTCATCTCAGGGCTCAAATGAGATGAAGAGAGCTACTTTTTCAGTCTGAGTGCTGAGATTGCTGAATCACAGTACAGGTGCAGATGTGGAGGCAAACTTGAACTGACTTCCTTCTGCAACCTTCTGCTGGCTCAGAGGGCTTCCGCAGGTGCAGTGGTAGCTCCCCTGCTCAGGTAGCCCAGCCATCCTGATCCCTTGCTGCCATGTGTAACTTCTTAACAAGTGATTTTGGGAAAAAAGCATACAATTGTGCACTTGGATTATGTTTGTAACCTTCAAATGTTGCTAGCACTGACAGAGCTGGTGTGTCATTGAGAGGCTGTAGAGTACTAAAGCTTAGTGACTTGCATGAGTCAATTCTGCTGCCTTTGCCAGCTGAATGTCTCATAGCAAAAATGAAACTCTGTCAAGGCCTGTAACTAATGCCATCTTACACACTGTGGATAGCCATTTGCCCTTCTGTTCTTCAGGTGCGCTTATATTCATACAAGTGGGAGCTGCTTTTAATGCCCTCTCCATGGAGTCATGGAAAGGTTTGTGTTGGAAGGGGCCTTTCAAGATCCTATCCTTTTACCACTGCCCCCCAACAATGAATGGGGACACCTTTCACTAGACCATGATACTCAAATCTCAATCCAGCCTGGAACACTTCCAGAGATGGGTCCACCACTTCTGTGGGCAAACCTGTTCCAGTGTCTCCCCACTCTCATCATTAAAAAGTCACTTCTTTATGCAAATACCCTCTGTCAATTTAAAACCATCACCTTGTGTCCTGCCACTCCTGGCCTTTATTAATTTTTCTTATAAAGCCTACTTTTTATATAGAAAGTCCATGGTAAGATCACACTGAAGCCTTATCATTCCCAGGCTTTGTATAACAGCAACTTGTATTCCTTCTATTAATTTGTCTTTATTTCTGTTGAATAATTTTAGTCCCTGCAAAGAGCAGAATATGCTACCTTTTTCTGTGCAATTTCTGAAATGATACAGTATACCTAAACTTGTTTCAATTTGTTTTAAGTTGAACATCTTTGTATATGAAAGGAATCATTAAAATGCATTTAGAGGTAAAATCTGAGTAGACTGTATCTTTTGACAAGGTATATATCTTAGCTGTTGTTTTGCCAGTATTTTTTTTACTGTAATGTAGCCAAATCTCCTCAACCAATTGTTTTAGAATTGCCTGAGAATACAGATAACTCTGTAGTATTAAATTCTCTGTATGAGATATGTATTTCTGGCAGACATCTGTATATTGATTAGAGATACTTGGATTGATTAATGTTCATACCACTTGTATTACACAAATGTAATTATTAGATCCATAAATAATTGCAATTATTTTTGCTTTGAGTAATTGTATCCAGTCTGTATGTACATTTTAAAGGCAGAAATTAGTTTAAATTATGTGATGCCAAATAATTTTTGTTTTGTGATGTTAAATATATAAACTGACTACTTATCATGTTGCTATGGTGATTAGTGAATGTTTAGTATATATGTTCATCTATAGGCTAACTTTTGACTTCTATAACTTCAATCAATTATTCTTGAAATGTTGCCATCTTTCTGATCAAAACCACTGTTCCATTCTGTACCTCTTGAAATGTGAATTGTATGCAGAGGCAGTAGAATAGCCACACTAGAAATTTACTGTGGTGTATATTGCTTGTCAAAGTGTAGTATTAGCAGTGAGATGCAACATGCTGTCTTAATTCCTTTGAGTATGTTCCAAACAGAGATTTATCTTAAAAGATTTTGAGGGATTGTTTTTTTTTTTCTTTTCCCTCCAGGATTTGCTGCTTCTTGGAGCTACAGCCATTGAAGACCGCCTGCAAGCAGGTGTTCCAGAAACAATAGCCACACTAATAAAGGCAGAAATTAAGATATGGATTCTGACAGGTGACAAACAGGAAACAGCTCTTAATATAGGTATCCATCATTCTGGTTACTCTGAGTTTTCTGGTATGTAGCAGGTCACATGCAAAATGTGCTCAGTGTGTTTTTAAATAGAATTGCCTGCTGTTTATAGAATGGTTCCTTGGCAGTAGGGCACAGCACTGGAGAAGGGATTTTGTAGTGAAGTCTTCACTATGTGTGTCAGGCTGTATTCTTTTTTTTAATTATTCTTGTTTTGAGGCAGAAGGGGCCCATGTAACTCTGCTTTCTGATGGTAACAGGAGAACTCTACCAGACTAATGTTTCAGAAATGGTTTTAGAGCTTTGTTTTCCTTTTCTTACTGCCTTTGAATTGAGTTTGGGATACAATGGGAAATATGATCATGCAAAGCATGTATAGTTTACAGCATCTTCCAAACCGTGTCTGTCAACATAGGTGGATTATTCAAGCTTAAATAACTGACCCTGCTGTCCCCTTACAGCACATCTATTAGTATACAGTAAAGACTTGCTAAAGGGACATATCCTGATGTAGGTACACCCCTTGTCATGCCACACCTCCCAAATGTCCCATCTTTGGCAATAGATGCCATGATGCTCTTGTGTTCTTTTTGATCTGTTTTTCTCCCTATCACTTGTAAGTCTGACCAGAGAGGAGAAGAGACAGAGTTGCACTCTTGTGATATGATATCTCACTTAAGTAAGTTCAGTTAAAGAGAATTTTAGTTCTCCCAGGAATAGCCTAAAATACACCCAGACCTGTCTGTGTGCAGTTCTAAATGTAAAGTTGACCACATTATTCATATAATTAGGGAGTCTTGAAGTCAATATGAGCTCAAAAAGACTGAATAAATAGCTCCTTTAACAGAAGGTAACATATGCTGTTAGGGTTCCACAACTACATTTAGATTTGCAGATTAATCTGTTTAAATGTACAGGTGTAGATTAAAAGGAACTTTAACAATATAGGTTGCTTTCTCAAACTCATTCAAGAGTCTCTATCAATGATGCTCTGTAAATGAGCTTAAATTATTTTCAGGAAAGTTTTAGGCATTTGTAAATTTTTTTGTCTGGTTTGTTTTGTGATTTTTTAAACTTTTTTCTCTTTTGGTTGACTCGGTGAAATTTCATGATACAATCTGCTTGATTGACTAGAATTTTTGTGTGCTTCAAATTAAATTTCATATATCTTTGTATGTTGAAGGTAGTACCAAGAGGTGGAATAACTTGCTGAACTGATACAGCTGTAGTAGAAATGCAGTGGATGGCCTAGGTAGGCAATTTGTTTAAAGGTTAGTTATTTGGTTTGAATCACAATCTGCAGATTTTCCTTTCTTTACAAGCAGTAGATAACTTCAGAAGGGAAACACCATCTTTTGACTAATTAAAAAAATATAGCTATACATTTAGATGTAAGTACCTGAAATAAGTTGATGTATTAAGCAACATCAGCTACTTGAACACCAGTAAATGAGCTTATTCTGAAGACTGTGAAGGAGACTAACTTCCTGCTTTCTCTGAAACTGTTGGTTTGTTGTTTCTTTTATTATAGCAACTTGAGAAGAAGAATAATCTGACTTAAAACTTCTAAATTATCCCTTAGTTTAAGGTACAGTTTGGTAGTAAAACTCTAACTTAATTAGCTTCATGTTCAAGTTGGCTTGAACATGAAGCTTGAAAATATAAACATGTGGCACTCTTCCAGTTTTTGTGTGTAACCCAATAAAACTGTAATAAACCTTCAACTTAAAACCTAATCCATGTGTGCACTATATGTTTCAGGTATTAATATGCTATCTGGGGAGAAAAAAGTGTTTTCACTTTCTCATTGTGTTATGCTTATTGACTCTTGCTTGCTGTATGGAGGTGCATGTGTATTGAGGAATATTTCAGCTCTTGGCAGCTCTGTCAAGGAGCTGGAGTACTTTGTTCTTACCACTTCCTCTCAATTCTTTGGTTGTCAGAATTTGCATATGTTTTGTTTTAGTTCTGCAAGTGAGGAGATTGTTCATGATAAGCTTTAATACTGATCAGTCATTTGAACTCTAGCTCTTGAAAATGGGACTTCTAGGTATAGAAGCATCTTTAAGCATGACCTGCAAACAACTCTAGAAGGCTTAACTGTGTTCTTGCAGCTTCATTCTTTTTCTCACTCTGGTTCATCTTTGCCTTTCTGTGAGACAAAACCACCCATGATATATTTATTTTTGCCACCATCCTGGTTCTCAGCACACTCGCTGAACACCAGAACTGCTGTATTTCCAGCCAGTAACTTCCCTAGGAAGATATTTGTTTTTTGGGAATTGGAGTATAACTCAAGTGTGTCCCTCCCTGAACCATGAATCAGTCCCTATAGTTGAGCTGGATGCCCTTACCTGGTGTTTGCATTGATAGTTGCCTGCAAGCACTGCCTTGCAGTTGTTTGTGTTTGAGTTTGAAAAGAACCTTTTGAAGATACAGTCCTCCTGCTCTCTCCCTGATTTCATAAATCAGGTTGCTCAAAGCTTCATCCAGCCTGACCTTGAACACTTCCAGGGATGGAGCATCCATAAATTCTCTGGGCAACCCATTCCAGTCTTGTTGCTCCCATCATAATAAATATCTTCCTTATGTCCAGTCTAAACCTACCCTCTTCAAGTTTGAAATGGCTGGCCCTTGACTTGCCATTACAGGCCTTGGTAAAAAGTCTTAGTCTTGATTGTCATTTCCCCTTGTCTCTCCAGCACCTTCTTTTCTCCCGGTTAAACAACCCAAACTCTCAGCCTGTTTTCAGAGGAGAGATTTTCCAGCCCTCTGATTGCTTTTGTGGCCCTCTTCTGTACTCATTCTAACAGGTTCATGTCCATCTTGTGCTGGGGGCTGCAGGGCTGGATATGATATTCCAGGTGGAGTCATTCAACTTTTCATCACTTAGGTGCTTCTCAGTAGGGCTGCTTTTAGTCTGTTCATCCCCTAGTCTGTCCTGATGGATATTTATGGCTGTTGCAGTACAGGTGGAGGACCTTGCACTTGGCCCTGTGGAACTTGATTAGATTGTCACAGGCCTACTCCTCAAGTGGATTGAAGTTCCTCTGTCTGGCATCACTTTTCTCCAGTGTTATTTATGTGCACCATTCAGCTTCATGTTTTCTCAAGGTTTGCTGAGGGTGTGCTTGATCCCTGTCTGTCTCTGGTGTAGATAGCAAAGGACCAGTCTCAGGACTGGCCTGAGGGACACTACTCATTACTGGTTTTCATGTGAGTGTGGAACCATTGACTGTAACACTCTGGATGGAGGCATCCAGCTGATTGCTTACCCATCTAACAGGGCATCCATCAGACCTCTATCCTTCCAGCTCAGAGAAAAGAATACTTCATGGTGAGCTGTGCTTTGTTTCAGTTTGGGAGGCAAGCCATACCAGCACACTTGCCTGTATCACTATGCAAAGTTTGAACAGGGCATTTGTGCCCTCTCTAAACACAGAGGATAATCATTCTTCCCTCAGATGCTGGATTCTGTATGCCTGCAGTATGAATGTGCCTGTGGGCTATGATTTTGAACTCTGGTTCAAGTAATCTTTCTCCCAGGACACTTGAAGGAAAATAAGTCCCAGAAGTAGCTGATTCATCTGCTTCATGGACTTTTAGTCAGACTTTAATTTAAAAGAGCTAGATATCAACTTACAGGTGTGGGTTGACATATTATACCTGACTTTGAACCAGCAGTTGATCTTATTTTACTCAGACAAAAGTATTGACAAAAATACTTTCCTTAGAGTGCATTTTTGTTTGCCATGTTAGTATTGCCAGTAATAACTATTACAAAACTATTACAAAGCTTAAGACATTTCTAGTAATGCTTTAAAGTTACTATTTGTACTCCTACAGTTGCCAGCTACTTTGCTTTATAGTAGTGCTATATTTTAACATCATCTTAGTTCTGAAATTGTACATAATGTATAGATTCCCTATAAACCCTTGTTAGTGTTGACTTACATTCTCCTATTCCACTCTTGATCTTTGTTTAATGTGATGGCAAGATGCAAAATAGCTTCAGTTGCAGGATAAGCTCTTTTGAGTCTGTGATTTCCAAGATGCACAGCAGAGCAACTGTTTTCCACAGCATTTTTTTTTCTTCCAGCTTGACTTCTAGAATGGCATCTTGCTCATTTTGGAAGAGGTAAAGTGAAGCAGTGAACAGTGGTTTAGAAATAACAGGTCACTATTGCAGCTGCTGTTATAATCAAATGCTACTAGAAAATGCTTTTGAATTAGTTATGCTGAATTTGTAACAGCCTACTGCACAAGACTGCTTTAGCCTAGGGAAAGAATAACCCTGTTAATGGAAGGAAGTAATTAAATTTGTAATATTCTCTTTTTCCCAACAAAAATAAGCAAGTTTTTTTTGTTTGTTTGTTTGTTTGTTTTTTTTTTCCCCAGCCTGGAACTAACTTTTAAAAATGGTGAACTGATTTGAGAAAAAAGTCAGTGTTCTGTCTGTAACTGTTGGAGGTTTTCTGCTCAGTTCTGTACTACCATCCAAGATTTGATCACAGGCAGAATCAGAGGCTGTCTGCAAAGCTTTCATGTTGTAGGCTGTGCACTGTTAGAACATATTTATCCTTTTCCCAACAGATAGGAGTTCAGTGTCATTCTGTATTGTTGTCTGAAGCAGAAATTAAACCTAGGCTCGTTAACCATATATTAGCAAGGTTGCACTTGATATTCATAGTCTATGTAGCTGTGAAATGGAGGAGAAAATGAACTTCTGCAGGTAATCAAACCTGCTGCCTGAGAGTGCCTGGCTATGATACAAGATGTCTTCCTCAAAGGAAGGAGAGGGATTTACTTTCCTTACAAGAGTCACACTGCAGACATGTTAACCCTGGATTATACCTACAAAACTAGCCCAATTCTAAAATCTCTGTAGCCTGAGGAAATTATTTGCATTGCAATTGATGATCCAATATGGCCTTTGTAAGGGATCAAGAATCCCACAGATAGTTTCATGCCTCAGTGGTTCTCTTGCTGTTATAAGATATGGAAAGAGGTACTTCATCTTTTTACGGTGATTGTGGTGTTCAGCTTTTGAACCTGTCAGCCTTGCAGTTGTTCTTTACTGGGACATTAGTCTTATACTCCAATACCCTCCAGTCTCCATTTAATAAAAGTAAGAGACTTCCCAAGACCCCATTTTATTTGATAGCAATTTTTAAGCTGCTGTAATTAATTTCTATTAAAAAATAGAAAAAAATACTTTTATTGGATTTCCTTTTCCCATGTAGCATAGATGAGCAATAAAAGGTGTGTGCTTCAAATAAATTAATTCTCTGCTATTTTATGAAGCTGACATCACTCTGTCAATCCCAAGTAAACTTGCATGAGCTTTTCGGATAATGTGATGGGGTCAGTCTGATGCAAGTTTGCATTTGTCTGTTGCCATTAATATGAACAGAATGAACCTGTTTATTTATAAATAAACTTTTATAAAAATGAGAGGTTTTTTCTGTCTTGAGAGTTTTTGAATTTTGGTGTCCTGGGAAATGTACAGAACTGCCTTTTGAGTGCTCTTGTTCTTTCATGTCCCAGTCCCACACTAAGAATAATGTAGTTCAATTACCTTGTGTCTATAGGAGTTGGTAGGGGCTCTGTGAGTGTCACTGATCTGTGCTTTTTGGTGAAGCTCAGGACCTTCCCCACTGAACACTCAGGAGTAAAAAAATGCTCATGTAAGCTTTGTGTGGGCTAAGGAAGCAGAGTAGTATCAACTGAGAACATGTGTGCACTTCCAGTCATCTGGCATAGATGCAATTGTACATTTGGATCTGTTCCTGTAATGTGCTGAAGGCAAACCTGCCTTCATGTAGGCTTAAAAACAATTCATGTAGGGCTATAGGCTATATTTACTGCATCCACTTCACACAGTGTTATGTTTAATTAAAACATCTCAAGTGATGTATTTGAAAACGCAGATAGAATGCAGCCTGTGTTTCTAGTAAATCTGTCATGTTGAAGTATGTCCTATATACCGAAATTTCTAGCAGTCTGCATGATAGGAGTAACTGCTCAAAAAAGAAATTGTCATTTGACGTATAGATGCTTATCTTAAGGCTGAACTTGAACCTTAGCTAGCCTTCCAAAAAGTAAGTATTTTTATTTTATTGTCTTTTTTTTTCCCCTCCTGCAGGATACTCTTGCAGACTCATTTCACAGAGTATGTCTCTCATCCTGGTCAATGAAGATTCACTAGATGTAAGTAATCAAATTCTGATGTAATTTTTGACAGGAGGAGGTGTTGCTAACAAGATGGAAAGTTTTCAGGCTTTCACATTGAATTTCTCTTGCTTACCCTTAGGGGTAGCAAGATAAACAGTTCATGCTAAAACACAGGTGTACTGTGTAAAGTGTACTCCAGAGGTCTTCAGTCACAAACTGTGCAAATCAATCTGAAGTCTCAGAATGAGCAACTTCTTAGGTGCATGTGTTTGATTCTGCTGAAAACTGGAAAAAACTACAGCATGCCATCAGGAAAATAGTTACCTTAGTTTTAAGGTATAGATATAGGAGTAATGTTTGAAGAAAACTTGTTTTTTGGTTTTTTTCTACCTTCAGTATTGCATGGAACAGTTCTAACCACATTTGCATTGTGAGCTTGTCTATGTACAGTAGCTTGTGAGATCTAAAATAAAAATTGTTCTGCAAATGGTTGCCATGCTCTGCATATATATGCCAAAATTAAATAGAAAAATCATATATTTGTACATTAATCTTCCCAGGAGGTATCTTTCCATTTTTTCTGCTTCAATGTCCATATCAGTATTGGATATCACTTCAATATCTGATTTCCATTAGAAGTATTTTTAGGACAGATGAAAGTACCTGTAACAGGCAGCATCTGACATTTGTGTTTAGAATTGGCAGGTTGGGATTGGGTGGGAGATGCAAAGCCTGTGTCTTGGACTACCAGAGGAGTTACTGGATATCTGCAAATCTGGTTGAAGAGGGTAACACTGCTCTGCCAAAATTATTACTGGCTGAAGTGTTATTTTCCAGTTGCCTTGATGTGTTTCAAATACCTTTGTGTGTAGAAAACTTTGGTTACAGAATCCAGCTGTAAATGGTATTGGAAATTTGTCAGTAAGCATAAAAACCAGTGAAGCTTTCAGAACATGAACATGCACCTCCACTGTGTTTGCCTGTGACACCAAGCTGTGTGGTGCAGTCAGCACACTGGAGGGAAAGGATGTCATCCAAAGGCATCTGGACAGGCTTGAGAGGTGGGCCTGTGTGAACTTTGTCAAATTCAACAAGGCAAAATGCAACTTGGGTTGGGGCAGTCTCAAGCACAAGTCTAGGCTGGGAGGAGAATGGATTGAGAGCAGCCCTGAGGAAAAAGATTTGGGGCTGTTTGAACAAAAAGCGGTGCATGACCCAGCAATGTGCACTCACAGCCAAGAAAGCCAAAGGCATCCTGGGTTGCATTCAAAGAATCACAGCTGGCAGGTTGAGGGAGATGTTTCTCCCCCTCTATCTGCTCTCGTGAGACCTGACCAGGAGTGCTTTGTTCAGCTCTGGGGCTCCCAACACAAGAAACACATGGACCTCCTGGAATGAGTCCAGAGGAGGGCCACAAAGTTGACCAGATGTCTGAAGCACCTCTGCTAAGAAGACAGGCTGAGAGATTTGGGGCTGTTCAGCCTGGAGAAGAGAAGGATTTGGAGACACCTTATAGCACCTTGCAGAGTATCCAAAGGAGATCTACAAGGGAGCTGGAGAGGGACTGTTTATAAGGGCATGTAGTGATAGGGCAAGGGAGAATGACTTTAAGGTGCAAGAGGGCAGGTCTAGATTCGATATTAGCCAGGAACTCTTTACTGTGAGGGTGGTGAGACACTGGAAAAGGTTGCCCAGGGAGACTGTGGACTCCCTATCCTTGGAGGTGTTCAAGAGCAGACTAGATGGGGCTTTGAGCCAACCTAGTCAAGTGGAAGCTGTCCCTGCCCATGGCAGGGGGTTGGAGTTAGATTATCTTTAAGGTCTATTTCAACTATAACTTTTCTATAGTTCTATGGAAAAAAAAAAAGGAAATGGAGAGCCATGGCATATCAGATGAGAAAATAAACTCCTTATTGATATATATATATATATATATATATATAGTTGCTGGTGTTTCAAGTGAAGAAAATGTCATATGATACATCATGAATATTGAAGGTGACTGATACTTTAGTTCAGATAACCTATATTTTTCTAAAGCATGAGTACGAACTTGTGGAACTTCTGAACTGGTGCATCAAAAATGCTTTGCATTACTCTTGCTTTCCATCTCAAGTCTATGGGTTTTCTCCAAAGTACTCTTACTGCCATTTTTAATGTAGAATTGGATTTTATATACGTTTAAATACAAAACTTATATTTTGTTAATAATTGCCTCTAGTTCTTTCACTCTAAGGTGTCTTTAAGTACTTTTATTGCAAATTTTTCAGTATGGGGTCTCCATAGTAATATTTATTTTGTGTTGCGCCTCTAACAGAAATTTTGACTTCTGTTCAACTGAGCCTAAAATCGAAGGTTCTCACATTGAAATTCTGTAGCATTATATTTAATATATTCCACCTTTGAAATCTATTAATTCTAAAAATGAGTTTTTACAAGATCCAAGTTGAGCTTAGAGCTTTTAAATATTGATACACTTCCCCCTTTGTGCAGTCCCTGTGTGACTTTTCCCTCCCACTTCTGCTCCTTGGCATGCAGCAGTAGGTGAGATGTGATCGAACAACTGCCTTTGCTTGGTTTTGAGAGATAATTTTTTTTTCTAAATCATACACTTCAGGGGAAAAAAATCAATCACTTCTGTTCTCTTCAGAGAACTCCTGGGAATATAAAAGACTAATCCCTATCTTGATTCAGCTGAATTCTCAAAATTTAGCATAATAATCTGCAAATGTCTATCCCTTGTAGACTGTACCACATGCATACATTTACTCACTTGTTTTTTCTTTTCCTAATGGAGCTTTTTGAAATGAGAATATTTTGAGCATGAGATTTACTTTGAGTGTGATTCTTGGACTCAGTTTCTGTTTAATTAAATTGGAACACCATAAAGTCTTATTGTGCAGCTCTTAACCTGGAAAAAATTCTTTTATTGGCATCTTGTAGAATTTTGAGTTGTGGGAGCAGTGAGCAGGGTACCTGAAGAAGGGAAATTGTATGACCAGAGAGCCCCTGGCTGGAAAATCTCTAATGAGAGAGGCGATATTACAGCCAAGGAAAGTTGTGTGTGCTCCTCCCCATAAATCCTGCAAAAGGAAGAGCTGGGATCTCTGTCAGTTGCTTATCACATGTAATTGTATTTCACAGTAGTGGAGGGACAACACTGGAGGTGTTCTGAAGCTGTGGGTAGTACTTTGCTGTAAAGCAAGCAGTCTTGTTGCTGTAAAAGAAGCTACACTGTGAGTGTGTTCTACAGAACTCAAGTGCTAGGAGTGACAGTCCTGGGTTATACACTGATATGTGAGTAACAGGAAATGGATGCTCCTGTATAAGAACCCTCAATGCTGGTGTCTCTTGATAAGATATGCCTAAAAGTGTAAGCAGAAGCTGGCCTTCCTTGCTTTTCCACTTGTTCAGGTATACCTTTTGTCTGCTTCACTGTTGGGATGCACCTGTTTGTGCCACCATGGTGTTTTGTAGCATTCTTAAAAAATAAGCATGGTTTCACAGTGTAATTTGTCAACCATAGTCAGTGTCTAGACTGCCCAAATAGTATCTGCAGGGAAGCTTTACATACAGTTATGTTTTATATTCCAGCAGTGAAGAGTGAGGGCCTGGAAAACTTGGTTATTTTGTTGTTAGTTTATTTTAGCTTTTCTGTAGGGTAACATTGCTATGAAGGTTCTGTAAGGAAGATCTATTAACCTTGAGAATATTAGATTTATTCAATTGCTTTCATGATCTTCATTTGTAATTGGCACATTTCTTTCCCATACATCTTAGAGTTAAAAATAAGGACATCTTTGGCAGGCATCATTATCCATTGTATTTAAATACTTATACATTTGTAGATCTGATATTATCTGGGAATCATGGCTCTTTTAAGAAGTAAAGCTCTGACCTGGTCATTGGACTTAGCCACACGATAGAAATAGCAGGTTTTTTGGGTTATTGTCTAAAACTTTTTCTAATAACCATTGGGAACTCAGACTGTGTAAGGGACAGCAACATGAGCAGAAGGCATTTAAAAATAATTTGTTTTTATCAGCGCATTTGTCTCTGAGCAAAGAGTATACTTAGAGTAGTGTCCTCTGTATTAGACTTCTCAGAAAGATTTGCATGCATTATGTCTTACACAGAAAGGGTTACCTTCACCTACAGAATTTCTTCAGCATATGCACCCTGTAAGTTTTTTGTGTAAATCTATATTTCAAACTCTCAAGCACAATTACAGGAGACCCTGCCAGTGAAGCTCTGGGAAACTTTGAAGGTGTTGCTTTTGGGATCATGATTTTCTTGCAGAAGCAGTGATGTCTATGCCTTGTCAGTGATGTCATGCTGATTGTTCCCAAAGAATGGACCTAAAGATATTGTCAGCTTTTCAGACTAAAACAAAAATTACCTAAAACTTCAAATGCTCCAAAGCATTGGTACTGTGTGTGCTTCAGCTGTACTAAAAGATAATAAGGTATGTAGGTACTGCTGGGAAGACAAGAACAAGCCTGGTACTGCTAATGCCATGTAGGTGCTTTGAAGGTTACATCTTGTGTGTGGCACTAGAGAGAGGGCTGGGGCTTTTATCTCCTCTGCTATCATCTGCCCATGTGCATTTAGACTAAGTTAATATTCTGGAAAACTGGTCAAAGTGAGCAAGCTCAGTTTGAGCCAAGGATCAGCTCCCCTTCAGAGGGGCATCTGCAGCAGTTCTCTAGTGTCTGGTGGCTACTAAGTTAATCCAGTCACTACTCAGCCTGGACTTGTAATCAGCTCTTCTGTCTACCACTGGGAATTTGTGGAGGAAGCTAATTAGGAAAACTAGGGATGGAATAGATTTTTCATTGTACAAAGCTTTTACTATTGCTCAAATTGCTGTTTTTCTTAGTCTAGAAATATACATCAAGCTAATAAGTAGTTACATAAGGAACAGGGTCTAGTAATCAGATAAGTCTTCAAAAATGTTAGGTAGAAGGGTTTTAGTGGTTTTTTGTTTATTTTTGAGGAACAAATGGGATATTTCATAGTCCCAGGTATTTGCTAAT